TTGTGTCCAAGATCTTGACCCAGCGGTCTGCCATTTTTCATTTGACCCTTCGGAAAGCTGCATAGGGTCGGTTGGGCTCATATCAATATGGTCATCGGCATCCTTCATCTTATGATCTTGGCCGTCTATGTCTATTATGAGTAGGAATTTAAAGTCTGGTCGTGAAGGAGCACATACCATTATTGTACCGTCCCATTGCCGATGATGATATCAACTGATATAGCTGTGGTGCTTATGAAGAAGCTTGTTTGATTAATTGGGCCAACAGTGGTTTTACTCGTATAAATTGTGGTTTTTGATTGAACGAAAATTTCTATGACGGGAGAGGAGGATGATACCCAACACATGTAATCCATTGATTCTGCGGGGTACTCGTGAAGGTCAATGCTATTACACAACCTAGCCACACGGCCAATTATAAAACTTATCGGCCTACATGTCCATTGTGGGAGGCCTTGTTGCGGGGAAGGTCTTCCCCAGTTCAGGCGGCCAATTGCAACCATATATAACCAACCATCTGCTCCCGCCATATTCTGATTTGACCTCATAAATATGAGAAAGGCGCCGCCCTCATGATAAGAAATAGAACTGATTACCTATACAGTTTTTTCTGTATTTTTTGCCCGCCTTAAAATACAATATCGATACTATAATCAATCCTAGCTATAGCTCGGCGGCGGTTTTGTGTCAACAGCAGCAGCACAGCTCAACGGAATTAACTACTACTACGAAAGTCCTTAGTTTCCTATTACAGTCATGAATGCCCACTCGGAGCCAAAGATTATCGTCGCAGTTGATTTCGGTACTACTTTCTCTGGTGTAGCTTTTGTGAGCCCCTCTTAACCGACTTTTGGCGATATATCTATCTCTCCATATAGAATATCCCTATCTAATTCTCTTTATGAAGGCGTACACAGATGAGCCGGATGATAAAGAAGTCATATCTGCCTGGCCTAGTGGAGGAAACAGGACATCCGACAAAGTCCCTACCGAGGTCTCTTACGATGACAGGGCACCTGGAGGATACAGATGGGGATTCGACATCAGGCCAGGGCAGAAAAGACATCAGTGGTTCAAACTGTAAGTTTATTTGTATATATATAAATCTCCGGCTAGCTCCGAATACATCGATTAATTCCGAGAGCAGGCAACTCGATCCATCCCAGAAACTAGCAACCAAGGCATCGAGCCTGGCAAGAAGGTACCCAAGTAGGACAGAACTCCCCCCAGGCTATTCCGGAGATATATCACAACATGTAACGAACTATCTTACTGCCTTGATGAAACACACGATGGGGGTTTTGGTTAAGAGATATAGTCAAAGTATAATCAAACCCTTCAATTCCATGCGGTTAGCACAAGTATGTAAGCTAAAACTATTTTATGCAAACAGAATTCGTGGATGACACGCCCATTGAATATATCCTTACTATCCCGGCACTATGGTCTGACAGAGCTCGCAACTTAACTTTCGAATGTGCAAAGAAAGCAGGAATGACCCGTATCTCATGTATTAGTGAGCCAGAAGCCGCAGCGATATATACACTGAGCGCGATTCAACCAAACAACCTGCGGTTAGGTGACAACTTTGTTGTGTGCGATGCAGGGGGCGGAACTGTGGATCTAATCACGTATAAGGTGACGCAATTGGATCCATTACAAGTGGAGGAAAGTGCAGTAGGCGATGGTGGACTCTGTGGTAGTACATATTTGAATCGAAGGTAGGTAGATATGTGAAGTAAGTCCTGGAGTATCGGTACTAAAGTTTGCCAATAGGTTCGAGGAATATCTAGAAAATAGGATCGGGGCAGGTGTTATGGCGAAAATTCGACCAGAGGCCAAAGCATCAATGATCAAAGAATTTGATGAGTTTATCAAACCCAACTTCTCCGATCTTGCTCAGGTTGACGAATACTTTGTCACCACTCCGGGAATTGAACCGACTGAAGCCAACGGTATTCAAGACGGCTTTCTAATCATAACCCGCGCAGAAGTCCGAACAATATTTGAGCCAGTTGTCTCAGAAGTACAAGAACTCGTTCTCAACCAAATACGAGATGTAGAGAGGGTGGGAGGACACATCGCTGCTGTTCTTCTTGTTGGTGGGTTTGGTGCCAGCGACTATCTTCGAAAGCGCTTGTCTGCGTGCGTAGATGCTGAAATAATGCAACCCAAAAATGCGTATGTAACCCTCTCTGACCCTCCTAAGTCTCCCTTCATTTATTGACAGTGTTTATAACACAGCTGGACTGCGGTTGTCCGTGGAGCTCTCAAACGTGGTCTAGAGGGACCTCTCATCTCCCAAAGACAAGCCCGCCGCCACTACGGGGTTAGGTACTGGAGCAAATTTCGCGAAGGTGTCGACCCAGAATCCAGCAAGTTCTGGTCTTCCTTTGAAGGGTTTTACAAGTGTACCAACTTGATGAGATGGTATCTCAACAAGGGGGACTCTGTGTCGGAGACAAAGGCCGTGACACTCAATTGGTCGAGGACCATGGGGGTTAATAGTAATTTAACCTCAGAAGAGGTCGTCATCTACTGCTGTGATGATGAAAATGCGCCAAGTTACAAGTCCTGGAATACAACAGAGGTTTGCAGGCTGAGTGCGGACCTGTCAACCATTCCTAGATCGAAACTCACGAGAAGGAAGAGTAAGACATTGGGAGATCCAGATCAATATCAGATCTCATATGACCTGGAGATGACGATGGATTCGGCATCTATAAGCTTTGTGATGCTTATCGATGGTATGTTTATTTTGAGCACTCCGTTAATGATTTATGTGTGGGACTAATCAATTTCTTGGTTGTAAAAAGGTATTAAATATGGCTCCGTTCAGACAGAGTTTGTTTGAAATCAACCAAGCATACGTTGATTTTCCAAGCACAGGTTTTAGTGATTTAGCGTCTTTCTTTTTATCTTTCCACCACCCCCATCTTTTCATCATCCAACTACCGCTACATAATGGAAAAGCTTATTCACGCACGTTAGTAGTTACATTTAGCTACTTCAAATTATGCAGTTATATACACAAGTTAAACAATCTTATTTTTTTATAAACATATATATCTATAGTGTGATGGAATTCTTGTAGAGATGCAAAGCAATTTTGTTGGCCAACCAACAATACAAATCCTACCCGGCCCTGATCCCTTTTTCTACCTTGCGTTAATAACGATCATGATAAATCACTCGATCCTGCTTAATATTCGTATTTGTGATCAACCGATCATTGCGATTATGTATTTGTGACTTGTTATACCGTAGTAATTCTGCTGAGGAGCTTGGAACACCATTTATATTAATGGTCTGATTAGTGTAAATATAGGCTTTCCTCATAGTCAGTCAGGTTTCTGGTGTCATGGTATAAAATATCAACTCTCGTTTAATAGGTTCTTTACAGATATATATATCATCTAAATTGGTATAATAAAAACAATTTTTTATTGTAGTCGTAGACGGCATATTACCACACACTTATCCCCTACTAAACCTCCTTCAATGTCTCCCCCACCCACATCACCTGTTTACTCCACATCACCGATCCTTCTGGCCCACCCTCTTCATTAGAGTGTATTGGAACCGCGTGTGGCCCCTTTTCAAGATTAAACTCTACTCCCTTCATACCTTCCAAAATCTGTGAAAGCTTCACCAAGTCATCAAGCATCACCTCCTCCGCCCCCGCGGTAATAAGAATCCTCTTTACCACGCCCTGCAAATCACTCCACCATCCTTCCGGCGCTCTCATGGGCTCCGAATATGCATTCCTTGCCTCCTGCGACCCGAGATAGCTGCTTGACCACGCATCAATGATACCCGGGAAGATAGTATCATGCTCAGAATTATAGCCCTGCATAGACTCGCTATTTGTGTCGAACGACACCCATGGGGAGATTATAATTGCTCCGCTGATCTGGGGCACCGGTCCGGGCAGTATTGGTAACTCGGGGTTGGGATGAAGGATATGTGAGAGGAGACCTAGTATTAGATTTCCGCCTGCAGACTCACCGCCTAAGATAATTTGCGATGGGCTGATACCCGAGCTGAGAATATGCTTGAAAAGTGAAATTGCTTGGATGAGTTGTGTCGGGTATCTGCTTTCAGGTGCCAGATCTTTCTTGTTATTAGTCACGCGGACGTGCTGATGGAGGGAATTGAAGACGAACCATACCCTAGGATTACGGTGGATAAAGAAACTCTGGACTTTTTTGCCTCGGTGATTACGGAGTCGATAAACTTGATATGACCGCTCGATAGCCCGACATGAAATCCACCTCCTAGATATTTTCCAGCCGATTAGCGCGGCAGAATTGAGAGCTAGAGGAAATATCGACCTACCATGAATGAACACAAAAACCTTCTCTGGTGACTGCTTTTTATCTACCCAGAGCGCATGCCCACCATTGGGCACTGGCTCGATACAGGGTTTGATATTTCGGCTTTCACAGTAGCGTAGGTATGTGGGCCGAGTACTGGATTCTCCAGTTATCGCACTGTGTCCCAAGTTAGTCCCCAATTCACAAGATGCACATACACGCCAGAGAAAAATTGCGGCTATGGATATAAGGGTGAGCAATGGTGGATTGACGCACCATATCTGCCGAATCGAGAAGCGCCGACAGACATAGCCGATCTTGAAGATACCTAGATTTTTCTCTCGAGCCAGAGAAAATTCAATGCCCAAGAGACTGATAATCTTGTACTGGATTATTTGCAAAACTATGCCTGCTATTAGTGATGCCTGTTAGGGCGAAAGAGGAGTATAATTTCAGCTTACTGAATTGGAATAACCCAAATATAAGATCTCGGATCTCGGCGAGCGATAGTTGTTGAGCCATGATATTCGGTTTTCTTCCAGCGTTCTGAGGGTCAAAGATCGGTTTAAGAGGTTATGTTGCGGACTTTGGTGGAGTTTGTATTATTAAATTTTTGTAAGAACAGAATCAGCGTGTGCCGGACGCTATTAGATACATATACGGAATAGGCTGCTTTAATGTAGCCGCCATGGCGATATCGATAGCAACAACTTACAAATACCTGCATAATATGCAAGGAGGCCGCTTACACATATAGGCAAGGGGTCCTAGGAAATCATAGTACTTATAGATTGCTTAAATCTCGATTCCATAATATAAATTATCGAGAAGCACATTCGTTTGCGCATGCGCAATTGGACCGCAATTGGCTTTAGACCCTCTTAGTCATAATTGAGTCATCAATCTGATGGGGCCTTAAAAAGGTGATTCGACTCATAAAATACATGAACACATATGTACTTGTATATAAGTACATGTATGTGCCTACCATAGGTTGTATGCGCATATTAGTGAGGACATCCTCGGTCTGGCTCATATCTAAAGCTACAGTGCAAAAACGGTGGCAAGATGTTGGCACCGCCTCGAGTACTTCATGAACACTGCCCCATAAAAGCAAATATAAGAGCTTAGCCATCCAGAAACTTCGGTTTTCGTATGATGTTGTTGCCTTATCTAGTTAGTTGCGGGTGTACGGATCCTTATATACATGTGCGTACTCAACCACAGCGTATCACTCGGAGCTTGGCAGACGTTAACCAATAGCTACAAGCCTTGGCAAACAAGACATTACTACATACTCGTATGTACTACGCCTGTGAGGGTAAGTCTGTAGACAGGTGGCGGTGACACACAAGCAATATTCAGGAATCTCCTCCCAATGCACCGCCACCTGTCTACAGACTTACCCCTACACGCGTAGTACATGTATTTTCCTGACGGAACGCAACCAACATTATATACCATACAAAAATACGCCAAGCTCATGATTTTTGGTGTATGCAATAGTGGCCCAGTTCAAAAACGTCAGGAAGATACGAGCACATGTGCATACGTGCATACTCGCGACCAGCAACAAGAACCCGAAAATGCACGTCCTAATCTGCAATTTCCATTGGAGTAGAAGTCAAAAATACACCAAAGACTTGCAGCTGCATATTCGGGTTCTTGTTGCTGGTCGCGAGTACTTACATACATGTAACACCTAAGGGTATCTCCTAGCGCCCCTTTAAAACACATGTATATATATACTAGATAAGTTTAGATTGGTAGTGTACTCAGTCATTGGGCGACTTCCCGTGAAAATTTGGAAGGCGTTTAGGAAATAGATTTCTGAATCTGGATGCGAATGCCTTCCCATGGAGAACAATATTTTCTAGATTTTTAAGTACTGCTTTGGTTTAGTGCGTAACATCAGGACCCACCCGGAACCTTTCTTAACCAATCGTATTTCGCCCTTTCAAATCTTAAAGATTTAGAAATTTAAACGTACCCCCCTCCCCCCCCATTCAGATTCTGAATCTGGAGCGTTGCCATCAAATTTTATTACTCTAAATTTCATCCAAACTGCTTCTAAACACCTTCTAAACGTCCACGGGAAGTCGTTAATTAAAAAGTCGGAATTTTTAGTAAGCATTTGGTTGCAACGATATCCGACTATTTAATTCACGCGCGAGTATAAGATGTAGTAAAGTGGGTAACGAACTGGGGCAACTGGTTTGGTTATATCCCTTTGTATGTTTCAGGATATGTGGGGATCTGTACATCTGCTCACCGTACAAATTGCAGAAGCTAGCTGAACCGTCGACTGGCGGTGCAAGATTGACCCACTTATCACGCAAATTTCTCTAAAAGGTATATAGCGGAGTATACTGTTTTTGTTAAAATTGTGTCTATCACGGCGCCGTCGGGGCCTACCATGTTGTGATTACCGGGAACAGACGAAGGGATAGGTAGAGACTGGATGTATGTAAGCGTCTCAGTGAATGTTAGGCGAATGCACATGAAGTAGTAGATAAGAATCATGTAGGAAGTGACTAACGGGGAATGGACATCTGCGTCATAGGCCCTAATATGTACATTTAGTTTTATACATAGATAGCATGCACGCACTGAATGCAGGTATTAAACTAGCGCTTATATAGAGCTAGAATACACATAGTCAACACTTAAATAGAGTACTATGATAAAATACTTACATGGTTTCTCTGACTGGTACTGTGGTACATGAGGCTGCTCGAGGCTGAGACACGAGGTTGCCTCGATATCACTCCGACCTTCGACCCACTCGGCTTCATCCTCTCGTGGCCTTATCCAAGCCTAGAACTCTGAGATTTGGCCTGAGACAGCCAAGAAATTACATCTACTCGCAACTAGCAACAAGAACCCGAAAAATGCACGTCCTAATCTGCAATTTCCATTGGAGTAGAAGTCAAAAATACACCAAAGACTTGCAGCTGCATATTCGGGTTCTTGTTGCTGGTCGCGAGTAGCTTAACACGGCAATGTGGTAACTGGGTCCTCTCACAATGAGTTACGGATGGACTTAAGGCGGGTGGTTTCATGGTGCATTCATCAGGTGTTGGCTTTGCCCAGTGAACCGTTTCCGTTTTTTAATCGTAGTTTGCTGTGCCAAAATTTGCGTATATATATCATCCACTCCTTGGTAGCTCCGAGAACCCTTGAATAAAGTTAAAGCCAGATATGAGTCTCAAGGTACCCCGACCTTTAGGCACTTATTGCATGATATCATCGTCTGGACTTGAAAGCTATGGCATTCAAACAGGGTCGTCATAAGCCCCCAGCTTTGCACACCATGATATTTCCGTTGATAATATTTTGATAGTATGAAGAGTTAGCTGGTAGGGTAGGACTCAATGGAGGTCTCTCTAAGTACTGGTAAACGGTGCAGTCGGAACGCCAGTCTTAGCCGATGATATGTGTAATGTTTCCCTAGATATATAATCGGATGATGTAAATTGTCTTCTGGTACATGGTAGTTTTGAGGCGGGGTGGATTAATACCGATAGGGGATTTAGAGACGCAGGGACTGAATAATATAAGGAGAGAACAGAGAGATATTCGATGAAGAAGTGTAATAAGCGGCGGGTACTACATGTATATGTAGCATATATCAGGGAGATGTGGATGTATGCGTATGGGCGTATATAAATGGCATGGAATTATAACGCGTCTCCAACGAGTCACCCTAGTTGCAGTCGGATGTAAGCCATCTTTTGCTGATACCCTGTACTGGCAACTGCGTGTACATGTACCTCCTTCTCAACCTCAAAAAGCTGTAAGTACATAGGTACTAAGTGCCAGTGGTTTTTGGCGCAAACCGTTCTACTATGTTCATGGCTAATCTTCCCCCAGGCCTCAAAAAGGAATTTCGATGCTAGTCTGACATGGTCTTGATGAAAGATTGGCTTTTATGTTGCTGTCCGCTAGTATAATCCCTCTATAATTAATCTCAATGAATAGGTAAACAAATAATCGAATTCTGTAATATTAATAAATAGAGGGGTCGAACAATTCTGTGATTGATCTAAGGTCGACAAATGAATTAAACAAAAAAAAAAAAAAAAAAAAAAACCTACGGTCGACAAGTGATATAGCGAGTGATCTTTTATGATTAAGAACATAGTCTCCCCTTTCACATGCATCAAGGTGAACTCTATCTAAAAGATACGTAGTAATCGTTTCAATAGGATGTTTTTCAACAGAATCGACTAAAAGAAGTGAGTTCTCATGACCATATATACTAAAGGTACATACATGCATTTAGGTGCCAGTACTTTACATAGACGACTACACCACTCACCCGGACACCCTCACCCCGGGCACGGTTGCCATAACAACAAGATCTGCCTTATAACTGGCTTCTATACTTCTTGTCAACCAATCACTATCAGCTGCCCGGGTGAGGGGGTTGTCCGGGTGAGTGATGGAGGCGTCTATTGATAGCACACAATTTTGTCTCACATTTGGAAGATCTCTAGTGATTTCAAGGGTTAGCAAGGTTCGGATACATTACGTAAAAACTATATGGAACCATTCGAATTCTACTTTCTCGAAGTGTTATCTTCTGCAGGAAGGTGTCAAGGTGAAGAGGCCTGCTAAGGTAACGTTCGTTGTTGAGGAAATTAGTGGGAGAGAGAAAGATGCTACAATACTAAATGTACCTCCAGTTTCAAATCGAAGTGTGGTTGGCATCGTCTTCATTCGGAATAAGTAGGAGGAGCACGAGACCAGCTAGGGATATTGAAGCCCTATCAACCCGAGGATAGTTTTGTTTAGCGGATCTCCAAGCTTCCCTTGTTGCCAAGATATAGGTTCATTTTACCGGTTCATTTCTTTGCCGATGCGCTAGGTCGCGCTTAAAATTCTTCAGCCCTTGCCGCATCATGCAGCATTTAGCGGGTATCATGATCGACAATCCATGGGAGCAAAAGAAGCTTATTCCGTTACCAGCTAGGGCCAAATTGGCTCAAAACATGGGGTAGTTTCCAGGCACCAAAACACTGCTGTGGTTCAATTGGCCTCGCTAGGATTCTCGGTGATGAAATATGCGATTCTCATTGTTTCCACTGGGTTTCTTCATTGCGTATTATTGGTCTGGAAAAATTATATGCCTCCTACATCCCTGAAATTGGCATTTTTGTGAGTGATTGATCATGATCGGATAAGAAAGAGTCATGATGGCAGGCAAATGCGTAGATGTGCTGAGCGTGATAACTGATAATCCAGTTGATATCGGGATTCCCAATAAAGACTCCCGCGAGCCGATGCTCACCCAATTAACTTTAGCCTCACGTTCGGATTAAAATAATTGGACCCCGATACACCTCTCGGCTTAGCCTCCAATCATATCATAGGATATGTAAATTGAAACAAATATTTCCACATTCATGATTACCAACCCGAGTTTTGCTGAGTGCATAGCACATCTTGTCAGCAGATTTTCTTTTCCGGGCTTCCAATCCAGAATAATGTACAGGACACCCATCGGCCCGAATATATCTTCGACGATTGGTACTCTATTCCCGACTTCAGTCAGCTAGGAAGATTACTCGAACAGTCCAATGTGTCAAATGATTTCCCAAGGCCAAAAAGAAAAGACAATCGTACAGGTCCTAATAGCCGTCGTATTGCTGCACCACATTGATGTGATATCAGATGTCTGTCTAAGCCTCATCGGCTCCAAAAATAAAGTTAAAAAAAAGACGGGGCTTAGTCCATCCAGAAAGATATTTCGTCCAAATCGACTGACGTAGGTCAGTATTTCCGGAGAAAGCAACTCTGCCGGTAAGGATTAGAGATGACGCATTATTTTGCTGTGAACTTTTTTCCTTTGCTAAATAACGTTCTTCGAGGATACTGTTTTTAGTCCCCCGGTTGTACAGCATGAATATGCAGTCGTGCAGGTGCAGTAACTTATGGTATTTGAACGAATCAATGAGCTCCCAGTAGGACTAACTTAATGGAACCTCGTAACCGAGAGGGAGATAAAAGTATCCTCTGATGCCTCGGTTCCAAAGATGGAGAAAATATGTCACTTCTCTCCAGTGGAAAGCATATATGCGATTAGTGGCCATTGAACGGCGCTCTGTTGGGCGCCTTTCCAAAGCCGTACACTTTCCCGTTGGTTCCTCGACAAATTAATGAAGGCCACTCGCTCCGTACTGCCCGAGGCGACTCGCAAAGTATATGTGTCTGTTTTGTGTTGCGAGCAGGTACTCTGATTCCGCTTACTCTGAAGTGAGCGAGGTATGCACTCAAATAAGTCCAGCGCTATGTATCCATGGTTGATCCGAGTGAGTGGGGGGTGGGGGGCGTTGAAGTAAAGTGGGGAAAAAGGAAAGAAATAAAAAAAAACCATAGGCAAAGGAGCGGCCTGGCGGGCATGCTGCGTGTGCAATGCGAACGCGGGGGGGGGGGGGGGGGCAACATACGAGCATGCAGTAAGCTAGAGTCTTCTTGGGCGCTGCAGGGCCGCATCGAGGATCGATAGGTACATAGGCCTTGGTGCCTGCGGTTGCGGATAGGCATGTAGAGTAGTGCTTTTGTTGGGGGCAGATGGATGGCAGCATCTGTGAATCCTAAATCTGATTATTCCTTTATTCCATATGATCCATGCAGAAAGCCCAGGTGACTGCTCTGGATTGTGCGCGTGTTTCGATGAGATATCCATCCACGCGGGTGTTCGTTTATTCGGCTGTCGCGGTTGTTCGTTGGTTATGGTGGGGTGGTTTTGTAAGTGAGGTAAGTAAATGGTATGTATGTATGTATTGCTGTTGGTTGGGTGAGCGGGTGCGTAGTCCAGCTAGTTTCTGCAGCGTCTCTCGACTGATTTGGATGTTTCGAACCTCTCCATGAAGGATGAGGGGTGCTGGACGTTTGTATTCTGGCTATGGGTCTACCCACTGAGAGAGATGTGTCAATGTTGTTGTTGGTTCGCTCGACGTGCACGATCCTCTCCCAACGTGCACCGGCAGAAGCCACGAATTCCAGTCTCCTACTTGTGGGAAACCTCGCTCTTTTCATAGGGGAGAGAGTGGGTGAGAAATCCCATGTATCGCATCAGAAGATCGCCGTCCTTCCCAGATTTGAAAACTTCCCAAGATAATCGAGGCTGCAGCACGACAGGGGAGCCTAACCTCTTCCACCTCCCGTCCCATGCTCGGGAGGGGGAAACCGTGTTGGTTGGTTAGTTGGGTTCACAACTAGCATGCATGGACTCAGTGGGGGGGGGGGGGGGGAACTTGTAAATAAATAAGTTTTTACTTTTCTCAACTGTTTTCTACTTTCTGCAGGAAGTCTTGTGTGTTTCTGTGTGACTGTTGGAGCCCCGCCGTCTCTCTATCATCTTCCCTCACCCATGTCCCTCCCATGTCCCTCCCTTCATTCATCGCCTGGACCCCCTGCTATCACCAAAACACTCAGCATGTCGTTCACCACCTGAATTGGTCAAAAAAGTGCTTATTATCGAAAGCATGGCTTTTTGCACTTCCGAGTTGAATGGGTTATTTTGACTAATGTATATCATACCTACAGCATGCAATACCAATGTCTAAGGTACAGACAGGACAGGGTATTGGACTGTTATTGCCTTTTGGACCTTCCTAGACACAATATCCATCCATGGCCATCCAATCCATCCATCCATCCATCGGTTGATTTTCGATTAAATATCTTCCGGCAAGTCATTTACTATGCAGCCCCGACACTGTTACATACATTTTTTTTTTTTTTTTTACCCACATGGCGACTTCGGCCAAGAGGCCAGGTGTAGGCCTGTGGTCTCATTCACCTATTTACTCACTTAACTCACTCACTAAACTCCTTCGTTCGTTTGGGCGCACTTTGCATAGCTTTGACGAGCAGAAAGAACACCCTTACTCCGCCCCTACCCATAATGTAGTGACTGCCGAGCAGTGAGCGAGGAGTGAGTGAGTTTAGTGAAGCGCCTGCAAGTAAATACAGTCGCAACTCGATATGCCGGAACCCAACGTATGTACCGGACGTTCCCTTGCTGTGTACAAGATCTTCTGGGAGTATGGTTTTTCTTGCTGCACAATCGATTTGCTATCCCGTACGAAATTATCTGTATCTTAGCCATTCAGCATAGCGAGGTGCCACTGTACTTACTGCCTGTATAATATGCACGCAAAGTTAGAGTACCGGTAGAGTATGGTGCTCTACAGGCTTTAGAGACAGCTATGTACATGTAGCTACTCTACGTACTGCACTGACGCCCCCCTCCTCCGACGCCTAGAGTATGCTGCCCACCTTGCCTCTTGGTCTAACTCTCCATCCGCCTATCTGTTTGTCTGCTGTCATCGTCAGGCTTGCTTGCCCCACTCAACAACGGTCTGCTGCTTCGCTGCTGATACTTGTGCGGGTCTGCCCTGCGGTCGAGCTCTCTTTCCGACTTTCTCTCCCCTCCTTCTCTCTATCCTCTCCTTCATTCTCTCCACCTTCCTCCCTTTCCCCCGCCCCGCCCTCACCATAATCATTGCTATCCTTACGGAGTTCGCTCTTTCTCCTTCCTCCTAGATCCTCACCGTTGCTATAGGGTTTAGCTTCATCCCATCTTTCCTTCAACCGCTCCTGCTCTCCGCCCCCTCCCCCACCGCATTAGTCTCGTCGGTAAACTTTCTATTTTTGCCTCTATCGTCACAGTGATCCACAAATATCACCACCCACAATACTTCAACTGTAACCCATAAATCCATCTGCAAACAAAGAATCCGCTACCTCTACAACAAAGCACAATCAAAGATGGGCCGAACGGATCCTTTCCGTAAGCTCAATATCCATGAGCTTGCAATCATAGCAGAGCTTTTGCCCCCCATCGATATCATTCGCCTTCGTCGAGTCTCGAGAACCTGGAACAATATCTTGAGTTCTGAGTATATCTGCAAGGTTGCCTTGCAGGCGCACTTCCCTCGCTCAAAGGAGACAAAACGGCTGCATGAGATGAATGCTACAACCATCGTCCCCACCAGGCCAGGATTTAAGATCATTAAGGAAGAAGTCATCAAGGAGGAAGAGGATGGGGAAGAACCCCCCAAAAAGGTTGCCAGAGGCAAAGGAAAGTCCAAAATGAAGCGCAGGCCCTCAATGTCGCATGAGCTTCGATCAATTTCTGGAAGCCCAAAAAAGGTTGCTGCAAATAGAGGTCTTTCAGAAGTATGTCTTAGCTTTTCCCGCGCTACATTTAGACTTCATGCCAGGGCTATAGCCAAACCAACTAAAGTTCACAAATACCGTCTACACCATATATGTGATAGAGGGTTTACATCCACGGCAGGATACCTTTTCTGGTGCGAGTCGAACAGGAAAATCTGGCAGCAAAAGATTGGAGAAGGGATCAGCGGTCGTCGTGGTCTAAAGCTCGGAAGTGTCGGGAATAGAATCGCTCATGTTCACCAAATTACCGCTGTCGAAAATGTCCCTGGAAGAAATGGAAGTGGTCTGGTGGTGCTCTTATTTCGAGAGGTTCTAACCTGGGGATTGGAGATGGCCGCTTTGGATTATGAGACAGATGAGGTTGTGTGGAAGGTCTCCCTTGCGGACAACCCAAATTCACTGCAGCGAACTAGAGGATGGGTTCATTACCTAACACAAACACAAATGCCTACAGTTCCTGGACCAAATGGAGTTATCACCCAGGAGTACAGATATATGCTTGTTGTTCACTGTATTCTCACCGGGAAAATGCTTTCTAGAACCGTCCTAAGTGATTCATGGCCGACACAGAAGCGTCCTGGTTATCCAAACTTTCTTCCCGAACCCCCAGGCGCCTACACCGTTTTCCCTACATCAAATCTCAGGAAAGGCAAGCCTGAAAAAATGGTTGTTGCCTTCGAGGACAGGGGTTCCAAGATTCCGGGAGAAGAAGTTCCCAAAAAAGCTGCATATAAGGTTCTGGTCTACTCCTTGGCCAACGATTCCGGAGAGGACGCAACACTGCTCAAAGATATTGAATTGGAAAGAAGTGGTATCGGGATAGGAACGAATCTATTGGAGAAATCTATCCGAATGGAATTTAGTTCTGACCCAAGCCCGCAGAAGGGCTATCCTAATCTTCTACTTATTGAATCCACCTCACATCCTCACGTTATACCACCTAAGACTCGCAACGCTAACGAAAAGCTGGAGTATCCCACCCTCTCGGTCTGGACCCTCGAAACACTGAACTTTGATATCCTCGAGGTCCGCCGTTACCAGAGTAAATATGCAGATGATGAGATGCGTCCTATAATAGAAAATCGACCTACGATTGAGAGTCGTGAGGGGTTTCACTATGGGCCAATGGCCGAATACACAAGAATGGAGGCATTAAATGTTGATAGTGGTATTAGCTGGGTTATTTACGACGAAAATAAGAGTCCCGAGAAAACTTCGACCATCAGCGATCTTAGCGGTAGCGATGACGAAAGCGATGACGATTCCGAAGCATCCTTTCCGGTTATAAGAGCATGGAACCACTTTCCGACAGGCCCTGGAACAAAGACTCCTGTCACGGCTAGGATCGATACAGTCGGATACGAAGAGGTTCCCGAAGGAGGTTGGACTGGCCCGTGGCTTGAGAATCCAAAAGAAGAAACACCACTCGCAACAAGGAATCTGAAGCGGAAACGTGAGTCTATCTCAATGGATCGTCCTGGTACAGCCTCAAGTAACTCCTCGTCTTCGGTAAACTCCCTCGCATCTTCGGCCACTACCCCGTCTACTTTTTTTGCCGGCGACTCTCTCCCAGCAATCTCTTCTACATCTTCGACCTCCCCACCTCCGCCGAGGGAACGATGGTTCAGACAAACTTCGAGGCATAAACTTCAACAGCCAGAGATCATGCGTAGAAGACGTAGACAGAATCTTGGGGAGGAAGAGGAAGATTGGGGCTTAATGTCTGTTAAGACAAATCCTACTATTTTCTTGGGTGGTAGCGGCGGCGGAAAAATTGGCGGGATGGGGGGATTGGATACGGATGAAGATGGCAGGTATCTGGTGGTTTTAACAAGGATCAAGGGATTGAGCAGTATGGCTCTTTGCTTGGATTTCGAACCGGAATGGTAGCGTCCAGTATGGTTATTCTTAGATTGGGGAAATGCAGTCGGTTCACCGGTTAATGGGCGGTTGTGTTTCACTCCAGTCCCTCTATTTTATTGCTTCATACACATTTTAAGGACGTCAGAACGGTCGAAACGGTCCATAGGGTTTTACCATTCTTCTATCCACTTCAAGCTTTAATATCCATCATTGCAAAAGATTGAGTCCGTTAGCTTTCTTCCTGCGCCGATTATTCTCACATCTTTTCTTTACTTTTGATATGCTTTTGTATAAAGCTTCTTACATTTCGTCTCCTTTTCCTATCTCTGGCTGTATGGATATACTTTCCTTTGTTCCATCGATCATTACCACGCTTCCTATCGCCTTTTTCTATATACTATCTTGTTTGGGTGGGGCATTTATCTGGTCATTACTTTGCTCTTACTTATTTTCTGTTTTTATAGCCAGCGCTTCTATACTTTTCTTAAATCCTGGTCAAGGTATGGTTGGCCGTAATGATCTGCATGGGATTCGAAGAAATAGATGATTGATGACGGATTTCTTTATGGCTGTATCTCCTTCTCTCTTTCATTATGGGCTTATATTCTTTTATTTCTTATCTTCTCTTGAAGTACCCTCATGGGTCGAGACGTTTGTATAATTATATACTACCACTATAAGTACTTTGATATGGATTTTATCTCTGTTCTAACTATAATCATGAAGAACACACCGAACTATACGAACAAATACCTCCACCTTCTCCATTGGTGGTTTTCAAGTTATTGCTCATCAAAAAGGCAAAAATTCCCAAACCTAACCCGCTTTATAGTTAATCATGGACTACATGTAGTACCCGGGACCGATACATCTTTTGTCGCCCTAAGATACCTACAGGGGGTTGAACGCCAGCTAGCAGCGTCAGCGAAACTTTGTCAGCTATCGCTAAGCCATTCGCCGGTGATGCTTGCAGTGTTTTTCTCCCCTTTTTTCTTTTTTTGTGGTGTCCAGTTTCCAAACACTAATTCTAGTAGGATAACGCATTTTGGGCTTGAAGTCTGCCCTTATCAGCCAAATAGTATTCTAGTATACACTTACCAGCGTATTTATACCTTTGCTTAAAGTTTAACCCTCAGAGCCCAGGTGTTTCAGTGCTTTGCTCGAAAATAATAGTAGGCCATCTCACGTGGCCATAAAGGAAGGAGACCATTAATTAAGGGCCTAACTAAACTTTGCACTTGTAGGAACCTAACTCTCCCAGCTGGTATACTTGAACGATAATCTTAATGTCCCCACTCGGCATATATAGCCATTTCCTAGCTCTCCTTTCAACAAGTACGAACCTATATATATGAGCAAGTCTGTATATTGATATACAGATGGCGATACCTACTTGTAGATATAGGCGTAATATGTAGCCTATCCCGTTACAAATATTCGGTTAATACAATACTGGATATAATAAGTACATTTGAACAATGATACATGTATTCCGTGCGAGTAAAACTTTCATTTGTCATCCAAAAGGCAATTGACCGTTACCCTTGAGTTTTAGACTATCGTTCCATAGATACATGTATTTATATAACCAAGGGAACATAGAAGTCTATCAAAATATATCAAACGATCTTTTCCAATTATTTTCCCAACCCAAATCTTGACACCAACGCGGCAGGGCAGGAGTCGACCGCTAACAGCCTCTGTAGATACGTAGTATACCATAAATTCGGGTCATTACTATTGCAGTTCTGAATATAGTCACCATTCTCTGGATGGGATGACTACACCCTTTAAGACTCTAGCCTTGTCGTGAATGGCGAGCAATACGGATGCCGCTGCACATACCGAAATCATGATCCCACTGAAATCCAAGGAAAAGAAGCGAGATTCTATTATTTGTTCTTACTTTTATATTTTTCATTTTGTTTCTCCTATGGTATGAAGGAAGGAGGCGGAGAGCAGAGTAGTATCCTAGCTGGAAGGCTGCATGTGAATCAACCAATCAGCCAGTTGGTTAGACTTTTGCGATCGAAACACTAATCCTGGAGATGAAACTTCAGATATTGTCATAGTCTCGGGGCTGCATGCAATCAATGAGTCAACAAATCAAACAACAAACAAACGTGGTTACCGTTGGATAGATATCGAGTGATATCTGATGAGTGTCAAGACGCATGGTACGAGTGATAATTTATGACCAGGATATATCTTTATCCGCCCCATGCTCGAATGCTTCTGGCACCTCATCGGAATACGGCAGTAAACCTCCGGACTTAGCCGCCAGAGATAATCTACAATGGTGATCTACATTATACGTGAAGCGCACTAATAAACCGATGTCAAAAAGCTATTTTTAAAAGGCCAGGTTACAAGAATTAAACCAGAAAAACACGCATAATCCCTCTAGATCCATCCCGAGAAAAACAATTTCTGTCTACTCTCCCTACAACTGATTCGCTGTGTTGAAGTCCTCTAGGGCCTCTTTAACACGAGCGGACATGGTCTTTTCACCTTCGCGAACCCAGACTCGAGGGCTAGTAATTGCTCAGTTAGTTCAAGCGCATGTTAGAAAGATGGAGTTTTATCACTTACTCAAAGTATTTCTTGTTTGGCTTGTCATCGCCATCAGGATTGCCAACTTGCTTCATGATGTAGTCGGTTTTGCTCACTAGGCAGCTAGTCAGAAATCACCTACTCAAGGCAGAGTTGGGCCAGGCTACTTACAAACAAAGTCACGAATACCAGTGAGATAGGCATACTGCAGGTCGGTATCTAAATTGACCTTCACCACGCCGTTCTCAATGCCCTGCTTGAATTCATCCTTTGAGCTGCCAGAGCCACCATGGAAGACCAAAAACAGAGGTTTCGACTCGCTGGAGTTGATCTTCTCTTTTGTGTACGCTTGATGCTTACCAAGCAGCTCGGGGTGAAGCTTAACATTACCAGGTTTATAAACACCATGGACGTTTCCGAAAGCGGCGGCAATGGAGAAGTAGGGTGAGACTGAGGAGAGGGCAGCATAGACATCATAGATATCCTCGGGCTGCGTATAGAGGGAGCTGTTGTCAACGCCAGTATTATCTACACCATCCTCCTCACCGCCGGTGATACCGATCTCCATCTCTAGCCATTGCTTCATCGGTGCTGCCCGCTCAAGGTATTTCTTAGTTGTGGCAATGTTGTGCTCCTTGTCCTCCTCGCTCAGGTCGATCATATGGGAACTGAACAAAGGCTCACCATGCTCGGCGAAGTACTTCTCGTCGGCGTCAAGCATACCGTCCAGCCATGGTAGCAGTTTCTTTGCGCAATGATCTGTATGGAGAACGACGGGGATCCCGTATGCTGGGGCAATACTACGGATGTAATGAGCGGCGGAGATGGCACCGGAAATTGACGCAAATTGGTCAGTGTTGGAAACACCCTTTCCAGCGAAGTAGGCAGACCCTCCTTGGGACATCTGGATGATAATCGGTGATTTGGCATCACGAGCGGCCTCCAGGGACGCAACGACGGTTGAGGAGGATGTGACATTCTATACCTGTGATCAGAAACCAAAATCATCCTCGGTATATCACTTGTATAAAATACATACAATGGCGGGAATGGCGAACTTGTGCTCTTTAGCATATTTGAAAAGCTATATATCGCCCAAAAGCAATTTATCAGTATACCAGTAATTGAACTCCGATAGAAGCTTAAAAATTAAAGGTTTAGGTCTAACAATTAGTAACTTACGTTCAAGACATCGTCGCCAACGATGACACCCTTCTTCCTGGTCAAAATATCAAGAACACCCATTTTTGCGAACTTTTATGGTCTAGAGGTTATTTCTGTACTTGGTTAGCTTTATAATTCATCCTAGAGCTCGAGCTCCTGGCTAGTAGTAAACAATAAAAGGACTACTGATAAGACATGTACCCCACTATTTACAGGGGAGGCAAGAAGCAAGCTGCAAGTAACGCAACGCAATGCAAGAAGATCAAACTTACATATGTCGGAAGTAGATTGCTGGTGATTTCGCTCCTCAGAACTGATAATCAAAAATCAAACCAAATTATCACAGAGAAGGAGGGAAGAAGGGGAAGCTTAAATATGAAGCTACCTACGGAACTAAATGCAACTCGGAAGCTTAAACGAGGAACCCTACGGAAGTCAACTGACAGTTCCCTCAGCCTCACTGACACTGAGCAGGGAAACTGTGACGAAACGATTTCCGGTTGCACCCGCGCAACCTCCGTTCTCTAACCTCGGAAGAGAGATAGACCCCCCACTGCCCTAGGCCTTCCGGGCAAGTGTGGACCTACAACTATAGAAAGTCACTCGTCTACCGAGAAAAACATCCCAACCCCGATCCTTGCTCGCATCATGTTAACCGAGTGCATGCGGAGGTAACCCCATCTGGCTTCCCCACTTGCAACAGAGGTTCTAGAAGCAACACAAAGCGTTAATTCTAGACTAGCTCCCGAAGGTGTTTCCGACTGCACGACGTTTACTTCAAATTCATATGCTCTCCCTCCGGGATTAAATAACCCGTAGCTAATTCAAACCCCAGTCTTGCGGGTCGAATTTATTCGATAAGACGATAGAATACCAAATTTTCCTTATAAAGAGGTCCTCGCATTATCATTGGTCCGAGAACGCAACGCTCATACCGAAGTGTATCTTTGAACACGATATATAAAGGCATATACTGATAAGATTCCAGTCTGGGATTAGTGTGAGCAAGATAATCGCTTCGCTATCAACAATTGAGGCATAACTAGATGTAGCACCTGTACGCTCCGAAACCTCAAGGCTCATGGAAAATCACTCGACATGTCACCGCAAGCAGTAAAAAAATTTCAAAATTATACCTAGAACGCATTTACCTCTATATGCTACGCCTTCACTAAAATATCGCTAGATGTAAACCAAACTTTGTCGGGAGAAAAAAAATAAAAGAAAAAAGAAAAACCAAATTCAGATGCAAAAATAGGGTATGACATGCACATAATCAACTTATAAATATAAGCATCAGTCCAAAAAAGGCAACAAAATAGGCGTGTATAAAGTGAGCATCAACGAACGAAAGACACAACACAGACAAGAAGAAAAAGGAGTGCTACTTTCTTGCTACCAAAACACAAGTTCTTCCATTCATGATTGATGAAAATCGCTGTAGAGGCGTACACACAGATTAATAGAAGAGAGTTTATATAAAGTCAACGATTGACAAAAGGAAACATTATCATAGCTAATCGAACACCATCTGCCGCCCTCCACTGTCTTCGATACTCTCAATCAACCTACACATTCCAACGGGCAGACCCGCGCATAAATCGAAACTTAAAATCCGAATGGGTTGTCCGGAGCTAAAAACAAAATACCTTAGTTAGTAAATGTACCCGATGATGTTAATTCCAGAAAATAAACGGTAATAACATACTAGCTTTAGTCAAATCTGCCCTTCCTGTCGGTTGTGGCACTAGCTTTTTCGCTGAATTAACCCCGAATTTCACATTAGGCGGAGGTCCTGTTGGTTGTGCAACTAGGGGCCTAGCCCCTGTAAATTGTTGAGCACCAGTTGCATTGGGTACCAATGGCGGTGGCAAGAGTGAATTAACGCTCATGCCTCTTCCAGTGTTCATAGTAGGCTGCGCAGACATATAGCCAAGTTGTTGCTGTTGGCCGAAGCTCTGCAATTGTCCCGTTGGTTGATTGATGAGTGGGGCTTGTAATGGATTATGTGGCATAGGCTGCTGAATCCCGCCTGTGGCATGACTGACCATATTCATGTATGGCATTCCTGTGTTTTGAGGTATCATGCCATTGTTCATGTTCTGGTACATTTGCCCCGTAGATTGCATTGCCATAGGGGCCGTCATGCCCATGTTTTGGAATTGCATTGGCTGTGCTCCCATTTGTCCGTAACTGGACACCATACCAGGCTGACCCGTGAACGAGGGTGTGAGTGGAGGCAAGGTCATGCCAGGGGTGAAGTTCTGGGGCGCCGATCCTGGCCTTTGCGGAGGAGGGGGTATTGATAACCCGCTTGTGCCTGTCATAGTTGGTGCCATAGGTCGTTGCCTTCCCATTGTGTACTGGTTCTGGGGCTGATTGATTCCCGTGAACTGGTTTCCAAACTGGTTGGGGATGGGGGGAGCCAATGGAATGTTACCAGCTCCATAATTGATCCCAGTGGCCTGGCTAGTCATAAATGACGGGGGAGGTTGCGTTACTGGAGGCTGTTGGATTTGTGGGGTGGGTTGAACAGGGGCAGGCTGAACAGGAACAGGTTGAGGAGGAGGACTTGCGATAGTTGGTTGTAATGGAGGGGTAGTCAATGATAGCAAGTCGCCCATGGCCCCAGTAGGCGCTGGTTGTTGTACAGGGGCTGGCTGCGTTGCTGGGGAGGCTACACGAGGGGGCTGTGGAGGAGGTGCGGGTGATTCTGGCTTCAAAGTAGTCGGCTTTGGTGCCCATGCGTCATCATCAAAACCACCAGCCACCTTTTCAGCAGGTTGAGCAGGAGGTGGGGTCTGAGAAGCAGGTGCCGGAGAGGCCCTTGGTGATTTTGAATCGCTCTTTTGTTTGAAAGCTTCCGGGTCCACCGAACCTGGTGTCTGCACCGCCGGGGCTGGTCTTCCTTTTCGTGTATTATTCTTCAAGGCACCACCAGGGCCTGAAAACAATCCTGTGCCCTCTTCCCTGTCTTCGTCAAAGTGTGCGACACTCTTCTTTTTTCTTCCATACTTCTCATCCAGCTTTTTGTTTACCCGTAAAATATCACCCTCTTTCAGCCCAAGCATTCTCATGACTTCCGGCTGGATGTCTTCCAAAACTGATTCGTCCATACTATCCCTTTCGAAGGCCGTTGCGTACCGCTGAACATTGTTTACATCCACACCACAACTCAGGAAGAATTCAAACCAGTCGTAGCCTCCGTTTGTTTGTTTCGTTGGGGAAGTAGAAGATGGAAGCGAAGGCGATGCGGATGATGCTGGCGCAGATTTACTTGTCTCAAAACTAATACCAGTTTGTGGCTTCCGATTCTTCGCCGTGAAGGCACTCACGGGTTTAACCTCATCCAAAGAGATGCCGGTTTTTCTTTCCACATATTCTAAATCTTCTAGTGACATCTTACCCACAGGTACTGCAATTTTAACTCCATTACTTTTGTGAAGGTTTATCTTGCCATCGTTGTATCCAATAAATTGCGCCTCAACTTTAAAGTTCCCTGTGCGATCGGTCCACTGGCGGACCTGAGAACTATCTGGCTCTGTGATTGTAGCTGTCAGCAGGACTGCACCCCAAGCCTCAGACTTTCTGTAACGTGAACGAGATGGTTGAAGCCTACTCTGTTTTCCGGACGTGGCTTGTGTCCTATCAGAGACTGTGGTACTGTCTGGCCTACTCCTCCTGCCTTCTGGCCTGTGTTGGTTTCCGGCCAAACTGCTCGTCCTAGTAGGTATCCCAGTACTTCGTCCTCCATTCCCACTGCTTGAGTGCTGCGACCTAACTCTATCTCGAGGGTCGGCTGGAGAGGCCATGATCCCCGGGGTGATAGCCGTGTTTCTTCCCCTTTCGATGTAACTAGCTGGTACTACCCCTCGTTCCCCGTTAACTCTCCGCTCGACTAGCCACCATTCCTCGCTAGTAGCGTCAATGATAATAACTTCATCGCCAACAATTACCGAAACTTCGTCATCACCCTTTGCCTGAAAATCATAAAGAATAGTTCCGATGTCTTTCTTCCTTCCACCTGTCGCCGCTGCGACGACTTCATCGAGGCCGGCCTGTTTATACGCGCCTCGAATTTCTGAAAGTGCATTGATAATATCCTCTGCTGCATCTTTAGAACCAGCATGGAGATCTAAATTGCGAGTTGGTTGTTCCAAATCGATAAAAACATGTTTTCCTTCTGAGTTATAACCCTTAAGGTGCTGTACAGACCACTCCTCTCTTGGACGGCTGCTCTTATCGGGCAAGAGAATAACACGAGTAGCCCCGATTCCAAATGTGGCAGCTCGCTTCTTCTTCTTCTCATCAACCTCTTGAACTGGATATGTCTGGAATCCTGGAGGAATTGCATATGTGTCATCAGCGCTATGTGTATTCTCCCCTGTATATCTGGGCTGACCGGGACGCCGGATGGGAAGCGAGGGTCCATCGGATTCAGAATCCGAATGCGCAAAGGTAGGCGCTGGCTTCGATCTACGTCCCGAGCCGCGGTCATGATGTCGCTCGGAAGCTGACTCTCGCGGCGGTGCCGCCAGTGTTGGTGAAGCCAAAGGGGATCTGTTAGAAGATACGGAGTGTTGATTTGGCCTATGCTGCATAATACTGGCAAGATTGGCAGAAGGAAGCTCGCGAGGGCGTGAATCTTCTGATACAGGTCTAGGAGGAGTAGGGGGTGGTGGTGAATCCTCTCTTGGGGGAGCGGAAAACGCAACATGCTTAACTATTGCAGCTGCTGCAGCTACCGGGGCGTGCTCAGATGCAGGTGATGGCGCGGTATCTTCTACACCATGTGCATCGTCCGCATCGTGTCCCTCTAGCTTCTCGATGTAGTTTGCCGGAGCGAACCCATATTCACCATTACGACCCACGAGACACCAGTCTGGATCCGTAGCGTCATATACATCCAGAATTACATCCTCGTCGAAGGATATCTCTTCCTCTGTTTGTCGAGCATATTCGTATAGCGCCTTGTATTTCCCGACAGGTTTGGTCTATCATGGGCAGAAGCTTAGCTCTATAGACTTCGATAATGTGGAGATTTCCTCAAAGAACCCCTCTCGGCGGACATGATGTCCAAGTGCACAAGAAAGCTCACCTCCTCAATATAAGTGGCAGGCACAAGGCCGACGGGCTCATCATCATCAGAGTTGTTGACCTTCTTCTTTACTTTCCACCAATCATCGTCAGATCTCTCCAGGACATAGAGAAGGTCACCTTCTTCTAGGGCCAACTCCCCTTCTCCCTGGGGAGTGTACGCGTAACTAGCAGTATACACTCCCAAGAATGGAGACGCCATGATACTCTACTGTAAACGAGGAAAGAGAAGGTAGGGAAAAAAAAGTAAGGGTGATGGCGATGGACGAAGCAGTAGGGAACTTGAGAGGGGATGGAAGATGTTGTGTGTGTGGTTGATGCCCAACTTTGACGTTTAGCTTTCCGGCAATCGGGATCAAGCAGGGGATGCAGGAACAGGCAAGATCATAGGAAATAGGGGATGCGAAGTAAGCAAGAATTAGAGACAGAAAAGATTTTCAGCTATAGACAACAGCTGAAATACTTGTTTATGTTACTCCTTTTTCCTCGTCTTCCTCTCTGTTCCTTAAGGATTTGATACCTGGTTATGGATGGCCAAGAATCTGGCCAGTTCCGTCCAATCTTGAGCCACACAACTGCCACCACAAGCCACACCAACCAAATAGACCTCGAAGCTCCCCTGGGCCATAGCTTTGTTCGCCCTGCAGCGGTTGCAGTGGTAGTGGTAAATTGAGTAAGCTTAGGCACCTGAGGTGCTGACACTGCCGTACTATGATGAGTTTCAGATTTTCAAGACATGCAACCTGCGGTGCATACATGTATGTAATGGACCATGTTCAAACAAATACTGCGACCCCGAGTGAAATAGATAGGGCAACAAAATCACGTGCCGGTGTCGATATCTCTACTAGTAGATGGGATACAACTGAGAAAGGCCTTTATTAGTAACAATATATTAAAATATAATCTTTGTAGAGTACATATAGCTACATATACCTCTGATTATCTTTCAGATCTGAAGAGTTTGCATATTTATGGGCTTGATTTCGCTCGTCGAGCGAGTTCACATGTAAAATACATGTATATAGTGCACTGCCGCATCATGGTGATGATATGCCCGTGTGACGCCAATGGCTTTCTCATCCGGATGTCCTTTTTATGAAGGACCTTCCCCCGCCTTTTAGGATCCTTTGCACCGAGCTTTCGTCGCGAGCATCTTCCATTTGTCCGGACACAAGCATCCACTCACCCAATATCTTCTGCAGAGCAACCAATGCTCTTAATCCTTCCTACCAACCGTGCTCTGAAATAATCTTCTACACCTTTACTTTGGTGAGCCTCCTTAGAACCCTTATTTCTTATGACAAACGAAGGATTTATCCTCTTCTTCTTTCCCCCCTACAGCACCTGGAAAATTAGCATCTACTCTATCTCTTGCGTTAACTCGTGCAAGGATTACCCCATCACTTGTTCCACCAGCAGATCTGGGAACCCGGGCGTCGTTGTGCTTCTCGGTCAGATCTTCCGTAGTTACATTACCTATTAAACAGCCGCAGCGGGTATACATATTTTTCGCTGTTAAATAGCCTTCAACCTAAATAGGACCGTTTTTTTTTTTTTTTGCTTTTGCTTTTCAGAGACTCATCAACCCTCGGTATCAAATAGCCCTATAGCCCAGTTACTGTATCTGCACTTAGCTAACCTTGTTGCAGGATAGTTTCCTTGTGATCTTAGTACTTCTCAAAGTTCTATAAATTACTTTCTCCCCCACACGACAATTCTTCCTGCAAAGTCTCACCTATTTAGATACTCACCGTTGCAACAATGGTTAACTTCATTACTCCTCCGATCTTGTCAGAGCTGCTTCCAGCTTTCCTGGCACATATTCCCACCGCCTTCACATCCCCGCAACCTCCACCATCTCTCTTCCCTATTTTGTCCCCAATTCTTCGCCAACGAATTCGACTCCTTGCTCCTGCTCGCAACTCGAGCTCTAGTGTCGAAGAGACCTGGCTCGCTCTTTTGACATGGTCTGCTACAGCAGGGCCCAAACTCTCTGCGCATTTGGCAACACAAGAATTCATTCCCCATCCATCATCTGGTGAGCTTGAGGTTGGCGAAACAAGTTTGAAAGGATTCCATCGACAAGATAAAGAAACCATAAGGGCATGTGCAGAACTTTTGGAGCTTGATGTAGAAGTCACCTACATTTGGATTGGAAACGATCCAGATGGCGAGGATGATGGTTGGAAAATCCAAGATGTCCGACTCACGGAAGATTCTGAAAACCAAAAATGGTACGCATCGGTCGGTGAAGCTGATCAGGCCTTCTATGATCAATCCGATGCCTACAAGTCTCCAGTGGTACCGTCGGCATCCTTTGCTACTGCCTCACAACAGGCACCCGTAGCAAATGAGAGCGAGGGCGAGGGTGAGGATGATGATTATTGGGATATGTATGACCGCACCCCTGCACGTACCCCAATGGTCCCGCAAAAAACAGATATGCCATCTGAGGATTCATATTACGCAAGATATGGAGATGTACAGCCGGCCCTTGAACCCGAACTTACTTCGGCTGAATCTTCCAACCCAATCACAATGCCTTTAAACTCACAATCATATTCCCCATTGTCAACGACTACTGCGAATACAGCATCAACGACCCCTCCAATGGTACTCTCGTCGTCATTCCTATCGAATAAAGATGAAAACACTTCAGTAACACATGCGCCCCGACCTATATCTGTTGCGTCCTCCTCCTCATCAACCAGAAACTCGATTACAAAGTTAGAGGAGAGTGCGGCAGTACAAGTGCAGAGTGAGCTTGGGGTCAAGCAACACATTTCAAGCACAATCAAAAGTCTTTACCGGTTGTCCAAGGCTGCAGGTATTCAGAGGGACGAGTTTGAGAGGATGTTACAGACTGAAGTTGCAGTACTTGCCATGATGGATGATGGAGACGATTCCCAGACATGGTAGAACAGGAATTTTTACTCTTCTTAAGCACTTGTTATATGTATTCTAAAGTCTTTTTTTCAGCACCGTCTTTTCTTTTTTTCGTGATGACGCTCTCTCTGCGGATTTGTTTCCATGAAAGCGTATTTCCTTTTTTGTCTCTTGTGGGTATCTTGCACTGGAATGGGCGTTTCTTTTATTTTTCTTCATTTCCGTGTAGTTATATTTCTCCATATTTTCAAGTGTTGGCAAAAAAATTTTGTGAGGTACATATTTCAAAATCCAGACCCCCAAATATTGACTTGCGGGCGGGATTCATGTGGATGAGAAGGTACCCCGCATACATATGAGTTTTCGATACAGGGCGGAAAAATCTATCGGGCCTGCGACCCGGCGATCGGCGAGCGATCAGAATCGATAGGAGACCAGGTTTGAAATCATGTAATATCACTCGCCCATCAACTGATCCGCCATAAAAGAACGGGAGTTGGTGGGAAGATCAGGGCCATAGAATTTACTTTAAATTAGAGGAAATGGCAGGCCAGAAAGCGCTATGGTCTTTTCCCCAAAAAATATTAACATAGCTACATGTAATTACATGTAGTTTGTATAACAAATATAACTCTAGCTGGCCCTTCGATCATATCACTTCAATACGTGAGCTTTAACCATAAAACATGCGCACCTTTCACTGGGTTCGTTGGTCGGACGACAAATCCGGAGTTCGGGATGAATTGTAGTCTATGATGGTATCAGTTATGATTAAGAGGGGTGAAGAGACTCTCGTGTCTTGGCTTTCTCGGGATGCCCGTTTCGATATTAACATGGCTACAAAATCTTTGCCTTGGGGCATTCTGGGGGAATTCCGGCGCGGCGTGATCAGAGATCTCTATATAAATGTATTTAGCTGTAAATACATGTAGCTACTGTTAATATATGGAATCTATAAATCTGAGCTCATGCCCCCGGCACGAATAGTTCTAGATCCCTCATGATCATCAAATTCAAGAATCGCGTTTCTAGAGGATAAAATAAAAAAGGGACCAACACAACTGCTTAAGTATTTACATGTACATGTTATACCCGTAAATCCCTCATTACTGCACGTTATACACACATGTATAAACCTAGAGATTCTTGAGGCGAGTAACACTGCTTACTAGCCTCAGGCGGCCTAATCTTTATAAAGCGGGGCCCCTATATAGCTCGTCTCCTAAATCACAATGGGTTACTCCAGATTCTAATTCTAGGGTTCTTGCCTATATACCCGGAGCTTCGAGTACATCGTGAATGTATTCCAGACGGCATTGCCAATACTACTAGTAGTACTTCCTCTTTAATAAACACATAAGTATAATCTCCTAGTTTGAACCCATACCAATACCCATCATTGATAAATAATGAAATAATACCAGTCCTGGTAGTAATAACTCAAATCAAGGTCCAGAAATTTGCATATCCTTCTTTCTCATCGCCTGTCATAATTTAGTTCTTTGCCGAGACCTTCTCTTTACCTTCCAAAGGCGGTAACGTGAACGCCTCAGACAGTCCGACTGAACCCCAGGTCAGCACACCAACATGTGGCTGTACGTTCCAGTAAAGGCTCAGTGTGATATTCTCACGATCAGAAAATTTCCCAGTTATATCATTGATGTTATATTTTGCGCGTTCATTCTTAAGGTGGAGTCTCGAAGCTGAGCGGTGAGGGAGAATTGCATCCCAGATGACAGCTTCATTCTCAGACTATCGAATAGATGTGAGATTAGCTGTCAGGGATAGTAGATCAAGGGACGGAGGTAATGAGAGATTGACAAATTTAGAGCCCGGGTAAGAGGCAGATATATAGGTGAATACTTGTTTTGTGTTCCAGTTGAAGAGAGATCCTAGATCTACGGGTGTAAGCCAACCCGAGCATCTCACATGTAAATCAAGTTAAAAAAGTACCAGCATCAAGATCAAAGTTAATGAATGCGTATTCCTGCACTTTTGAGGCATAATATTGGTGAGCCCGGCCCTTTATCCTATAATCAAAGTCATGATTAGGAGGAAATTCGATTTTAAGTAATTAGTAAATACATGTATGGAAAGGTGTCCTTACACACGAAACTTGCGAACATCGACTGTAGCTGTTGGGTTTGTGGGGGAAAGAACAGTTGACAATGCTATAAAGGCAGCGACACAGAATGTAACTGTTGTAAAGAAACTAAAGACACTTTGAACACGGACCAGCGAAGAATGCATCTTGGAGTAGGTGTTGTTCTGCTGTTTATGGCGGGGTATTGATGTCCTACATGATACAGACTAGCTAAGTGAGATATGTAGCATGACTAATCCAGAACCTTTCATTGCGCCTGAGGTACTCCTGTGATTATAATTATATTAAGCCCAGAAGAATGACCATGAAGACGAAGCAACGGCTGGAGTTTTCTATCCTGCTTAGCCCAGAAATACACTTCCACCTTACTCTGGAAAGTACTTTAAAATATCCATCACCGTGTAGCACTATTGGTCGTGAACAATGTTACAGAATATCACACATCCAGGGTCTCTGACCTGGTTCAAGGACACGGGTGCTGTCATGGTTGCTCCACCCTAACCCTTAATGAATCTGCACCCTTGAGATTCCACGCGACATTTAGCCAGATTAGATTTGTTTCGCCCTCAACCGTGCGAACAGGAGACCATGGCGTTTTCTAAAAGTAGACATTCCGTAAAATGGTTTATCTCCCCCTCCCCTAGGTTTCCCCTGCTAGCTACTCTATCCTATATAAGAGCCGGGCCATGCTCGGGTATTGTTTTGCGGGAACTTTCCTTTCAACCTGGCTTTTTTCTCTCTTTTTTTCGCTTCTTCCTATTTGGCTACTACATCTTCCAGGGAAAAATATTGAGATGTCGACGAAAAAACACCTCGTTGTTTTTAGTGGAGGCAGCGCAGCTAATAATCTTATCGATGTTTTCAAGACCCTTGCAAGCAAAGGCAACCGAGCACTGGATTTTGTTCTCCCGATTTCAGATAATGGTGGTAGCACCTCTGAGATTCTGAGAGTATTTGGTGGCCCTGGTATTGGAGATGTTAGAAGTATGTACCCGTACCTGCATATTTTTTGGTTCCTTTGGGCGCGTGGACGCAAGGGTTCAACCCCAATGATTCAAAGCTTATCTATTGGCTGCTACTTATAGGTCGTCTTATCAGGCTAGTCCCCGAAGACACAGAAGATGTCGAGTTAATAGCGATTAAGAGTCTTCTTAATTACCGTCTTCCCCCCTCTAACGATGAAGCTCGTTTTGAGTGGCTTGCCCTTGTCGAAGGCACACACGGCCTTTGGAAGCATGTTAGTTCTCCTGCTGTTAAATTAAATAAAGGCTCTAATCTCCTTCTAAGATATCGTCCGAAAAACGTGAACTTCTCCGCTCATTCTTCGTCCTCCTGAATCTCGAACTCCTCAAACGTCAACGTCCCAAATCCTCCTTCAACTTTCATTCCGCTTCAATTGGCAACCTTTTCCTGACTGGAGCACGTATCTTTTTTGGCTCCTTCGAATCGGCTATATATCTTTTTCGCTCCATCACCGGGATCCCGGAAAATGTGCAAGTCATTCCAGCCATCAACTCAAACTTTGCCCACCATATAGCTGCAGGATTGGCAGATAAAAGCGTTATTATCGGGCAAAATCAGATTTCCCATCCATCCAACCCGTCTGCGCTGCCCATCCCTGCAGAATCACAACCAAGCTCTAAAAATGGCTCTGAAAAGGACTTTGATGTATTCGAAGAGGAGCCGGAAGAGCCAGAGGAAGATGCGAACCTCCCCGGTTCTCTAGCTTCCCTCCGAACCCAGAATATCGAATTCAGTAAAATCGAAGAAACTGCAATGCCGTCTAGGATTGAACGGATATGGTACATCAATCCATACGGCCAAGAGATCAGGCCCCATGCCAATCCGAAGGTCCTTACGGCCATCGAAAACTCTCAGGCAATAATTTACAGTATCGGGAGTTTATACACTTCTCTTATCCCTTGTCTTGTCCTCCGTAACATTGGCATGGCTCTCGCAGCCACTGGGCGTAATACTCCAAAAATTCTTCTCTTAAACGGTTCTCATGACCGGGAAACGGGGCCTGATAGCGCTTCTTTCACGGCAGCCGAGTTTGTTCGTGCAGTAGCTCAAGCATGCGCATATTCTGATTCTGCCTTTAAGGATAAGGAACCGAAACCCCAGGACTGGAACAGATACCTGACACATGTCATATACCTGGTCGGCAATGGAGCACCAATGGTCAATGATGACGAACTGAAAGCGCTTGGCATTGATGCATTTCAGGTTTATGGGAGGAGAAATCCAGTTGAGGGAAGAGGGATGCTATATGACTCGACAGCGCTGGGTCAAACGCTTGAGATGATATTGGCCAAGCGTCTAAGGAAGGCAGAGACTAGGCGTATGACAATGGACACATACTATGAGAGTCCAAGAGGGGGGGATGGGAGTGGTGGCAGAAATGTGAACGGCAATGGGTGGACAGCTGGGAAGTGTACGTAAGGAGTTTTGTACTATTATTTCCCTGAAAAAAACTTGGAATTCAATTAGGAATGATTTCCCTGTTTGTCTTAAAATGAAGCCTGGATGAATCCACGGGGATAATTGTATCTTTGGGAGTCAGCTACCAGTTATCACTCATTTTTTAACTTCAAACCGGCAATGCAAAATCGTTAGTGCACGTAAAACTTAGTAGGTCAGAAGGCGCCTCCGCTGTATTATTTCCCACACACAAATCTATAAAATGTACAGATCCGTGGGTTATCCACAAGACACAACTTCCCCTCCTTCCGGCCACATTCCAGAACTTTTTTTTTTATTTCTTTCGATTGGTGCTCGTAAAGGCGACCCGCTTAGTCGAAGAGACCGAAACCCATATCCTCGTCGGACTCCTATAATAGCATTAGAAAATTTGAGATACGTGGTAAATGAGGATAATAGGTTAGTACTGACCTCCTTCTCTTCCTCCTTCTCCTCGGCGGGGGCCTCGGCGGCAGCACCACCGCTGGTAGCAGCGGCGGCACCACCAGAAGCAGCACCACCAGAGCCACCAGATGGGACGGAGGCGAGTTTTGAGGACCCCTCAGCAATCAACTGTTGGACAATTAGTAAAAAATTCTCCAAGTCATGTATGAAACCGCATGCACGGGTATAGAGATCAATACTGGAAAAATTGCACCGTCAAAAGACCTTGCAAATTTCTAGTCTTTAACTCTATTCCTGGGCGGCATCCGCCTTTACTACGCCATCGGGAAGGATTTATAGCTGACCTCGTTGATATCCTTGCCCTCAAGTTCCTTGAGGAGAGAGCTGACACGGTCACCATCGCAATCGATACCGACAGAGCTGAGGACGGTCTTAATGTCATCGGCAGAGGGTGAGGCGTTTCCACCGATCTGAAGGAGGAGGTAGGCAGCAAGGTGCTTCATTTTTGTGGTTGTGTTATTTTGTCACTTGGCGAATATTAGTGACAATTTACCTAGTAGAAATATTGTGAAAAACTTACAGTGGAATGAACAAGAGAAGCAATCAGTTTAACCGCAAGGGACCGGGGAAAGCTCTTCGTTGTTCGGAAATGTCGTGATGTTAGGTTGAGGTGAAAACAATTCACTCCGGAAATTTCCAGACTGATGATGGTGTTTGGTGGGGGTGTGACTGGTGAAGGCTTCAAGCTTTACGAGGGTTATAGCCCTTGCGTCTGTGGCTCTGTCGATGTGGCTTTCCAAATGTGGCTAAACATTGACTCATGTGGCGGAAAGTTGTGGCTGACTGAACAAAGAAATTGAATGGGAGAGGAAGACTCCCCCTTCCGGCTCATACACAACACCGAAGAGAGGATCCTCTTCCGCCAATCAGCTCTTCATTTTTAACATCGCCAGCTATTACCACATAGGCTCTCTCGAAAGCGTCACTCCGCGTTGTTGTTGACGCGACTTGCTCTGCTGTTCTCTTGGTTGTCCGTCGTGGTCGTGGTCGCTGTTGCCAGCAATCAGGGCTTTTCCACCTCGAAATTTCCAACATCCGAACCACCTCCCCATAACCAACACCACATCAGCTTTTCAACCTCCACCTACTAAGATAGAACAGCTACTACTACCACTGCTACTACTACTACTACGAAAGCCACCGCAACCCTAGTTCACGATGGTTTTTAGCGACGCTGACCCCACGGTACACCCTCACCCCTCCTTCCTCTCACTCTCAGCGTCAACTCGGGCTAACTCGCTGGGCGCGCGGTCATCGCCCGATTCGTAATCCAGTTCAGCATCTCCTCGCTCCTTAGCCGTTTTGACCCTACGGTGGCAGCTGGAACAAATTCTTCTGCAGCCTCACGGCCAGTCCCGTCAAGAGTTAACAGCGATAAGAAGCCCTTGGTTGCTCAGCAGAGTGAGTGCCTTTTTCGTTGTTGCTCTGCTGTTGCCCCCTTCCTGTATATGTTCTATTTTTATGAAACTATACTCGGGCGTTCATTAAATGGTCGGATATCGTTGCAACCAAATCCCTACTAAGAATTCCGACCATTTAATGAACGCATGAGTAAACACTTAAAATATAATTGGTTGTCACTGACGATATCCTGTTTTTGGGTGGCTTTATAGATGGCTCTTCAGCCTCTAAAACAACTACATCTACGACAAGTACAAGTACAATACAATCCCGGCCTCCGATTACATCAATATCAAAACCGGTCACTACTACTAGTACTACCGGTACTACCAATACTGCTACTCGAACTAATGGCATCTCTTCAGTGCCATCCTCAAAAACAGATGTCGGCGGTATCGTTAAAAAACGCAAAGTAGATGACCCTCAACAAAGTTCTATGGAAATGTTAAAGCAGCGGGCAGCGCTTCTAGCTAAAGTTAAAAAAACAACCCCGGCTTCCACAACGGCAGCATCAGCTAGTACTCATAAGCCAACTGCTCCAAAAATTTCAACTACTGGTGCACGACCTGGTACAACACGACCTGGCACAAATTCTGCTGGAAACACGCCAACAGAGACTGTTAAAAAGCCTGGTTATAAAGAACTCTTGGCTAGGGCAGCACAGGCCCAAGCAGAGAAGAAGTCGGTTTCGGGAACAATTACACATAAAGCCCGACCTCAAGTGAAGGAACAACGTGCATGGCAGAAGAAGCTGGAAGAGCAGAAGGCTGGAAAGTCAGGAGTGGTTGGGAATGATAGGAATAGTAAGAGCCCGGGCATTGCTTCGGGCAATGAAAAGGGCACCTCTGCCGGGAAAAAATCCGGCGAAACCGTCAAGACGACAGCTGGGAAGAAAGGTGTCGGAGGTATTGACAGCCGCAGATCATCTGTAGGGAATATTCAGGGAGCTGCTGGGAAAGGAAAACTCCCAGATAGGGGGAAGAATGGAGGCCCTGTAGAAGCTGGGACGAAAAGAAAGCGTGAAGACACCGGATATGGTGGTGGTAGCGGTAGAGCCGGTGGCTTTACATCTTCCAAAAAAAATAATGGTAGACGCTATGACACCTACGAGGAGGATGAAGAAGACGATTTCGTTGTTGACGATGAAGACGACGTGCCCGCACGCGGGCCGAGATATGGCGGTGGTGGATACGGTGGCGGCGGAAAAAAGTACGTTTATACATTCGCTCAAATGATTTTTAATTTGGCTTACTAATCAACCAATCGTCACATAGATACATATACTACGAATCTGATTATGATTCGGGAAGTGATATGGAAGCTGCAGGTATTGATGTGCTTGAAGAGGAGGAGCGAAGCAGGAGAGTAGCTATTCTAGAGGATCAAGCAGAAGAGAAGAGGGAGAAAGAGCTGGCTGCAAAGAAGGCCGCTGCAAAGAAGAAGATAATGGCCGCAAAGACGACCAAGAAATAATCTAGTCCCGATCTGAGATCGGGTTAACGTTTTAATGGGGTTAGGATGTGGCGCGGATCAATTAGGTATATCTCGGCGGAGTTTTTTCTTCTGCATTTGTTCATCGCCAAACCTTTCGGAAAGAATTGGTGGCACTTACTATTGAGCAAACGTATTGTGCGGCCTTGATTTCTAGATGACTATTTCCTCAGTTATCTTCATTCATTAAACTACCATATCATGCGTTTCCCCTCGCTTTTATTTCCTGTCGTTACCCGACTATGCATTATTCCCAGCTTTCTTTTGTCATGGGTGTTCTCGTTTTTTTTTTTTTTTTTTTTTTTGTTTCCTTTCTTTTCGTCAAGATGGGGATTTATAAGGGAGTTTTGTGTATCTGTGTTTTATTTCATTTCCCTCCTACTTTTTATTGAGTTCTTTACAGGTCGGTAGGTGTACTTTATAGTACCTGTGTTCTTTCTCCACTTTCGGGGTATGTTTGGGGTTATCAGGCGGGAGTTTGTGCTGTTTAAACCTCGCCAACACGTTGGCGGTGTAATTGGTACGTGTTTAGGGTTGCAACTTTTTTATATTCATTCACGGGGGCCCCGTCTGGCCTCCTAAAGGCAAATGTTTGATAACAAATTTCCCTTTCTCATTTTAAGACTTTACTGCTTGCTTTGATCTAAACTACTGAATTCTATAGATAGAGTCATAATAACCTTGTAGTCTCATTCGGTGTCGTCATTTCTCTGCTAAATAAATTGCTGCAGAACGCAACTTGTAAGCCTTATACTCATTTTACGTTCGTATTTACCATCGCATACTCGCCAACAGACTTGTAGTCTACCCCTTTTCCATATATACATGTAGCTATGGAACCGGAACGGAAGTTTCATCTCTTGTATGGGAACGAACATATATAAAACTCAAATAGTCAACACAGAAAACACTTTAAAGTCCCTGTACTCTACGATCTCCCTATAAGAGTTCGGCTTATAAGGGTATTCGCCTTATAGAGATAGAGGGTTCCGGTCCCAATAATTCGTACGCAACTCTAAAGGTAAATTGCCGATTATTTGCTATAAGAGTACCTGCGTTACCCCATAGAAAAGGAAGGGTTAGGTGAAATTTGGACCTTTTACTCTTCATTAACCCACCGCTATTAACAACAATGACTTCAAACACTCCCGGGTTGAAAAGAGGCGGGCCTTCACAGAGATCAATTTTCGAGTGGTCCAATCAACAGTTCCTGAGAACCGGCAAGCTCCCAGATTGGAAGTCACCATCTTGGGCTTGATTTGGAATACTCTGTTATTCCATAGCTCCTATGGTTGTTGTTTTATGTTCAAAAGTATTGCCGTGACTGCACCCTTCTCCAAACCTAAGCCCTAACCCTCAATTCCCTGTAAGGGTTTATGCTTTATCATAAGGGTAGAACCTCGCAACTTTTCTGTACCGCTAAGGGCGATCGCACTGTATAAGACTGTCAAACTTCATCCTCTCGATACCTTTCAATCTTTCTACAGCTATAAATGCTGGCTTTGGTAGTAAATACATGTCAATTACGACGAATTCACTATTTTTTTTTTGCAGGAACATTATGGGCAATCAAGCGCTAAGGTTGCATGCAATTAGTGAATTAAACCAAAAAAATGTAATCAAGCGCATCATGCATTGTCACTCGACAGTTCCACTTATATATGTTACTTATTACATCTAATAACTCATTGAATGCCCCCGACTTAGATATATCCCTACAGTGCCGTTATCTTAATTATACCTACGTGTAGGTTAATACTACTATAGTTCTAACCAGCAGGTTGAAATCGATCTTGCGGTGCTTCCGGTAAAACAACCCTCTTGAACCCACAAGTCAAAATCGTTGGACTGGATAGTCAAAGATTACGGTATTATATATTCCTAGAAAGAAATACTCGATGCCTGCTTGGCGGATAACATTTCATTGCAACAATGGCTGTAATTTTATACCAATGTAGATTTGTCCCACATCTTTTGTCTACGTCGTGTCCATTTTCTTTTGTTCTAGCCGTTATGCATCAGATTCAAAAGAGATATGCTTCACATATGGAGTGATTGTACAAAATCCCAGGTTCTAGCCCCCATGCCATACGTACAACTCCTCCGCACAAATAATGCCTCCAACAGCCCCAACTCACCACGCACCAAGCCATCATAACGATATCAGACACATACTCCACATTAAAAAATAAACACAAAACAAAAACCAAGTCAGTCCTGTCTTATAAAAAGAGGCAGGGTTAGGGATAATGGATGTGTGAAGAGGAGGAGTAACCTAAGTATAAAGAAGGAAATGGGAGAACAATGAAGAAAGAGGGAAAATAAAAAGGAAGATAATACCAAAATATCACCCGCCCACGTTTACAAAATAAAACAAAACAAGACCCCCCGAGGAAAATCGATTTACACAAAAGGCCTGACAAAAAGCTAGCAGATAATAGATGAACCCGATATATGCCGGAGTAGTAAAGATATAAGAACCAGACGGAATAAATAATGCACAAAGGAGGGGGGATTGGTGTTAATCCCCTTTCCTTGTAAACTGTACCCATAACACAATTCGCCTCCCAAACGTGTAAAAAAAAAAAAATCCCCGTATTCAGACAAAAGCCAGTAGTAAATCAGACCCGACCATAATCTTTAAGCATGACCCCCGCAGTGACCCTATAAACACTCATTACGTGCAATACCCAAGTCATATTAGAAACCACTCATCCGTGAGGGAAACCTCATAGTTGCCGTGGGCATTCCAAGTGAACCATCGCTCTCTTCTTTCAGCCTCTTCAATCCTCCATCCGGTGCTTCGACTTCTCTCCCATATATCCTTTCCCCAGGGGCCGGGCTCCCTAAATCAATTATCCTTTGTGCTGGTGGGGGAGCTGGATGTGATTCTATACTACTAGAACGGGCGTACAAACTATGGTGTTGATGAGGTGGTGGTTGCAGTGGATGTGACGGCATCGGATGTCCAGAGTAGTTATACTGTAATGGACGCTGAGAGGGATGTGATTGGGGGTGATTGTGTACTAGTTGAGGAGAACGATTTTGATTGTTTCCGCCATGAATGGAAAGTGCGAGGCTAGATGGAGGTCGTGGTGAAGAATGTTCTTGCTTTATGTCGTTTTGCAGCAATGCGGATAATGGAACATTTGAAGGCTGGGAATGACTAGGGTTTGCCGAACCTGCTGCAGAAGGAACACGCTGTTTAAGGAAAAGAGGTTGGTCAGGCTGATTGGACACCCCAGACGCGGCATGTCTTCGATTATGATGATGGTGAATATGTACGTGGGGATGCGAATGGGCCTGAACAGGCTGGGGTGCAGGAGATGGCGGCGAGTGTCGTTGGACTTGGGACCAATGAATAGGCTGAGGCCTCTCGTAATGATCATCAAGCAGTCGGTCGCGTAATACAGGTGGTTGTACGGTTGCACTTGCCCTCACAGGTACACGTGGAGCGATCTGCAAAGAAGCATTAGAATTTCACCCGTGGCTACACATCCCCCGTGCTCCAAGAAGGACACCGAGCGAAAAGAGAAAAAAAAAACGACTTACTCCGATGGCCTCCAAATCTTCCGCCCGTTCTTCTTCAGATGCCCCCAAGACGTCAGGGGCAGCTGGAAAACCAACGTGTTTAGAGATTCCTGTCAGAAGTGCAACTTCCCAATTGTACTGTCTTCGGTGCTGTATCCTTGTACTTGCACGATCTGGTATCCGATAGGTGTATTCTGTAGTTCCATGTTACTTCCCTGCTTAAGCAAACAAAAACCACGAGGCAAGACAAACCTGAAACTAATGTATCACCAGCCCTCCGTTCTCTTTGAATATGATACCACAATTCACTGCATTTATTGAGGGTATTCTCTCGTAATTCTCTTACTCGTTGATAATACTGTGAATGCACCTGGGCCTTGGTAACTCGGGTGGCAATCTCTAGAGACTCCATACCATTCTTGTACTGGGCGTCGGCTAGACGTTCTTTTTCATCTAATTTCTGGTCGATACAAGCTTTCTGGGCGACGTATTCAGGGTGGGTGCCATCCTGTATCATTTTCATTTCGATTTCAACTCTGCGCAGTTTTTCGGAATAAATTCTTTGCCAAGTGTCAGCAAAAACGTTTTACGTCATAGTAAGGCGGCTTCGCTTAGTCCTAACCTATCTTTGAGGTGTGCGAAAACACGTTCTATCTCCGCGAGCTCTTCCATAGCAGCTTTCTTCTTTAATGCGCGCTCTAAATCTGAGTTATTAGAAAAAAAAAAAGCCGGCCGAAAATGCTCTTACCACTACACAGCTTACCTTCGTCATCCACCCCGATCGTATCAACAGCATCGCCATGCTCTTCTTCTGGCACTATGGGAGCCGCGACATCTGTATTCTCTTCAATTTCAATTCCAATAGCACGCTCAGATTCTTGGTCTTGGTCCGGATTGCTATCGGATTCTTCCACAGCAGATGTAGCAACCTTGACAATTGATTTTACTGGCCGAACGTCCTTACCGTTAGTCACAATTGGAACTGGGGTCTCCTGGCGAATTCCGTTAGTTATAGCAGGATGTTCATCGTCGTCCGAGTTTGGTTTTTTCCCTTCCAGCGTGCTCACACTGCCATTTTCTGATGGTACTTGAGGGGTGTGTACTTTTTTCTTAGGGGGTGGTGTTGATGGTCTTGTTTTCGGCTCTTCCGTAGGTCGTACAATAGGCGATTCTTGAAAATCTCTTTTCCGCTTTTTGCTGGGGCTAGATTGTGTAGGTGTAGAGGGTGTAGAATCATCAGCAGCGTCATCTGCAAAAACATCCCCTTGATCAAGCAACACCTCTTTCCTAACCGGCATTTCGATCGCGATTGCTTGTGTTGTGGATGTTGAATCTTTCCTGTGTTGCACAAATTTCGGTCTCTGTTTTAGCGGGGAATTGTGTAGCCTTTCAGTTTCCGCCTCCGAATCCTCGCCAATGTCGCTGAGGCTAGACTCGGAGTCGCGGTCCGAAGCGTGACCGTTATGCTTTCGTCTTGTTCCTGAGAGAGAGGGGCGGGGTGGGCCGTTCAAATTCTCCAGAGCTCCGGCGGAGAGGGGTTGTGTTTCGACAGCTGTAGCGTCTGGTGCCATTTGATCAGAGAGGATCGGCACTTTTGAGTCTTCTGAGGGGCCGTCAACGCGGCGGTCGAGTAGCTTCGTTGCGTTAGAGCGAGGAAGTGATTGAGAGCGGTTGTTGAGGGTAGATAGGACGCCTGAAGGTGGTTCGGAGGATAAAGGCAACGAGTTAGTTGAACGCGTTCGCTTTCGGGGCCGCCGTCCTGCTGTAGTAGGAGGTAGGGGAGTCTTTGGTTAGATTCCTGAGAGGTTGGCCGACTTGTGAGAAGGAGAAGGAGGGGGTAGGATGGTAGGTAGTAGGGATAGACAGATGCGAGGATATCCAAATAGGAACAGGGAATATGTGCGGGGAGAGTGAGGGCTTTGAGGGAGAAGGAGAATACGAGGAGGAGTGGTACCAGATTCTTCCAGAGCTATGGTGGAGGGACGAGATCTGCTGCCGCGTTTTAGAGCTGGTGTCATGCTATGAGCAGCGGATGAAGCGAGATGTCTACAGGGAGACGGACTCTGTAGATGCAAGAGTAGAAGTGAGAGCCGTGGAAGAGGAGGAGGTGGTGGTTGTTGTGTTTAGCAGGATGGTGACGTCTAATGGAACGATTGACACCAAGATGAAGTAGGGACTCAGAAGAGCCGCCCCAAACAAGCGTTCGTGCCGGGAATATACGGCCGGGGGGGGGGGGGGGGGAACACAGACTGGGCCTGAGTTAGTTGAATAATGTGAGGAGGGAAAGATGAGGAAATTAAGAGTGGGCGTGAGTGAGAATGGGTATTGGTGAGTAGGGGAAGGATCAGGGTGCAGAAGGACCAGTGATTACGGCGACAGATGAAAAGAATAAGGGAACAAGATCGGACTCTTTTCGGAATGGTGCGAGAGTTGCCGGGGGAGAGGGGAAGGGGAAAGGGCACCTTTTCTCTCCTATGACGAGCAAGAGTGGGTGGAGCGTCTCGAAGGAGGCAGGCCTCAGAGATACACACACAGATAGCGAGAGGCGGAGATGGAGCGTTCTGAAGAGTTTGCAGTAGTAAGACAACTTATTCGATTATTCGAATGAACGATACGGCTAGGAAGATGTACAGGTAGCCTATCGACGACGGACGGACGGATGGCGAACACTGGGCCGTGAAGGCGATTATGGGGCGACCTTCGAGGAGGTGGATGTTGCTGGTGGGGAAAGTTGTTTCGTGGAAGCGTCCAGGTATGTACATACAGTGAGCGAGAAGAGGAAAACACCGGCGGAGAAGGGCGAGGGATACCTACGCTACACCGCAGTACCTACACCCTACCACATGTACCCCCCCCCCAGCCTCCGCCGGCACCAACAAGCAAGCAACTCTTTACATGTATGGACGGCGCGACCCCCCACTGTCCACAACCTTTCTGGCAGTAAGCATGAAGCCGCATCTTTTACCACTTCAAAATCACTTACATTCACTCCACATAGATACATGTACTTTACATGTACTTTTTTTAATTACTTCATGTTATTTATATAACGCTTATTTGCTTGCTTGCTTTTTATTCTCCCGGCCATCATCATCGTTCATTCACTCAAAACTACATGTACAATACCTTCTCTATTGCCCAATTTGAGCTTCACACACAATACCAATAATCCACACATACAAACCATGTAGTGCAGCACCGCGCCCACTGCACACCCACATATCGTTCACGCACTCCCACCCTCATTCACTCCCTCACTCACACCCGCCCATATCACACACGCATCCCAGTAACAGTTCTGCGTGTGCGGAACTGGTCGAAAATTGATATTGCTGCCGGCTTGAGTGCCAAGAAATCCGGGGGCAGAGGAAAATTCACGTTGAAACCAAACCTTTGCGCCAAATCTCTTGCTGTGTGCCTGCCCTTGCCTACATGTATTTAAAATATCCTGACTGCCCTGCCAATCTGTCAGTTCAACAACGCTATTGTCACGCGCACTTTGTTGCACTTATCCCAAAACTTTTTTTACCCGCTCCACCTGACACGCCAGGAACCCTTGCCCGTCTTCAACACCGAGTGCCGATAAAGAAAAAAAAAAGTGTGAGCCGGAGAAATTCAAAGAAGTCGCTCCCACAACCAGACTGCTTCCCTCCAATCAACATATTTACCCCGCCGTAAACTTTACAGCAATGGGAAAGAAGGACAGATCAGAAAAACTTTCCAAGAAGGAAAAGACTTCAACTGCGACTCTTCCTGAAAAGAAAATTGACCCCTCATTGGCTTCTCTCTTTGAGTCGAGCGTGCGTATTTCACCTTTAATCCTACTCAATAAGGATACATTGTTGACTCTTTGTTACTGTAGTTTGGTGCTGTAAAGCCCCCCGCAAAGCCTGCCCGTATACTATCTGAGGGAAGTGAAGAGCAGGGGCACAATGATGAGGTGAATGATGTCGATGCCGATGCCGATGCCGATCTTTCGGAGGTTGATGAAGAGATTGCCGATCTTGAGGATACCGAGGATCCTACCGACCCAATCCCGGAAGTAGCCAAAGTAACAATAACAGATAAGAAACGGAAACGGAAACGGAAGGAAGAGAACGGGGAACTTGAGGACGCCTACCTCCGAAAGCTTCAGGACGAAGAAGATGCAGCAGAAGAAGAGAGGAGACGGAAGAGGAATAAACAGCTTGCAAAGAAGGCCGGGATTAGTGTTCCGGAGAGTGAAAAGGATGGTTCAGGGGATGAAAGTGATAGGAAAGAAGAGTCAGAGTTCCAAATTAAGCACGAAACTCTGAGAGATGAAAAGCAAATCGAGATCGATAAAGCTGCAAGGACTGTTTTCCTTGGAAACGTCCCCTCTACAGTGGTTTCCTCAAAAGTCAAATCCACCCACCTTACCCTCACTTTAAATCCCAATAACTAACCTCTAGCAGCCTGAATACAAACTCCTCAAATCTCACTTTACCACTGGCGCTGGCCCTATCGAGAGCGTCCGCTTCCGCTCCATCGCCTTCTCTGAACAAATTCCCCGAAAGGCTGCCTTTATCACCCATAAGTTCCATGAGAAGCAACAAACTTTGAACGCCTACATTGTCTTTAAAACCGCCGCTGCAGCTCGTGAAGCCCTAAAACTCAACGGCGTTGTTCTCCTTGACCGCCACATCCGTGTCGACTCCGTTGCACACCCAGCCCCTCACGATGCCAAACGATGTGTTTTCGTTGGAAATTTGGATTTCGAGGCACAGGAGGAAAGTCTTTGGAAGCATTTCTCCACCGCGGGGAAGGTTGAAAGTGTACGGATTGTTAGGGATGCCAAAACAAACGTTGGAAAGGGATTTGCCTATGTTCAGTTTGAGGTATGTATATCAACCATTCGCCCACACCACCACCAACCCACTGACATGGTCACAGGACGTAATGGCTGTCGACGAGGCCCTTCTGCTCCATGAAAAACGCATGCCTAATGATCGTAAACTTCGCGTCACGCGCGCTAGAGCTATCAAACGAAACGCAAAAAGGTCAACTGAAAATGATCGTGATCGTCGCCCTGACCCTACCCCCCGTAGACCAAGAGACAACATAAAGGGATCTATTTACCAACCTAAAGTCGATCCCCGCAAGCGGGACCAGCTGAACCGTGCAAGTAAAATTCTTGGACGTGCGGCAGCGGCACAGCTCAAGAGTCAAGGTGACGTTTTTGAGGGGTTGAGAGCTACGGCTAATACAGATAGTGGGATTAAGAAGGGGGGGAGTGGGAAGAAGGCTGGTAAGCCGAGAGCTAGAGCGGTTGTGAGATCACAGGCGTGGAAGGTAAAGAATGCGAAGTAGAAAAACGGATTAATACGGTCTAATAGGTTTGTAATATAAATGATTCTGATGGAAAAAAAATTACTTGGTTTCTGTTGTTTTACTAGGCTTTTATGTATTCTATCTTATATTGCGGCTATCGTACAATTATTAAGAACAAGAAAGGGCACCCTCGCGGTAAACACTCTAACAGCAAATTTATACTACTTAGTGTCGGATGAAGTCTTCTGCTATACCTGACGGGGTCATGTTTCCTCTGGCAGCTGCCCTTTGTCAATCAGGTACTGAATGATCTGTAGCATAAGAGTATTCTCCTTCTCCCTATCGTGTTCCACAAGCTATCACTCACGTTAGACATCAAACCCTAACCCATACGTTCACAGCCCCATAACTAATAAAGAACACATACCCGCTGATATAAAGTCTTCTTCTCCTCGATCTTAGTTTCCCTTTTCTTAGCTGGCTCCTTATCATGCCGGAATCTGCACCGATCGCCCTTCGCGCATTTTCCGCGCAGAAAATCACGGCAGTGCCCAGTTGACTTCTTGGAGCCCTGTCCCTCCGGCTTTCGGATTGCGGATTCGGGGACTGTAGATTTGATTTTTGAGGATGTGATTTCAGGCGGTGCACCATCATTGTCAGAGTTGGAGTCAGAGGCATTGGTGTCGTAGTCGTTGTCGATGTCTGAGCCCATTAATAATAGTGGCGCGCCATCTCCATCTCCAGTATCAGCGGTGACACGTTTTCGTTTGCCCCCGATTGCATGAGCTTTTAAGTCCCTCTCTTTTTTCTGCTGCGCAGCAACCCTTTTCGCCTCTGCTTCTGCCCTCGCAGCTACCTCCTGTTTTTTCTCCAGGTTCTCCTCAATCTTTTTCGCAGTCGGAAATCGACTCTTTCGTTGCGCGATCCAGGCCTCAATCTCCTCCGGCGTCTCCGGAGGGGCAATATTAGTCCCGATGAGCTTCCCGCCGTTGAGAGAGAGCCATGTAGCTTCGTCCATATCAGGTTTATCATCACGCTCCCGCTTCTGCTGCTTTCTAGGAGGCGGCTGGGGAGGCGGGCTAAAGTGGCCATAGGAGGAGTGAGTAGGCCAGCCGGCAGCGGGGAAGGGTGGATGCTGCTGCATTTGAGGTGGTTTGAGGGTAGGGATTGCGAGTGCTGGGACTGGTAATGTTCTTGAGAGTATGAGAGGTATGGGTTATGTGGCTGCTGCTGGGGGAGGGAAGGAGGAGGAGGGCCCAGTGATGACTGATACTGTGGATTTGTGTAGATTGGGTTGTTGTTGAAATAGTGGTTTTGATATGGTTGATGTGGCTGCCGCTGATATAGTGGGTATTGCTGGCATTGCTGATTCCCATGGTGCTCCTGATGTTGCTGCTGTACTACAAAGGCTGGATTGTAGTGTGCAGCTGATGGTAATTGAGGTAGTGGATGTGGTTGCCGCTGCTGTTGGGGGGATCGCTGGTACTGTTGACATAGACTAGAATCTCCCCCAATACTAACATTTCCACCACCGCTACCACTGCCACCACGATTGAAGCCTCCGCTACGTGCGCCTCCCCCTCTATTGCCGCGATTGCCTCCAGAGCCGCGCTGTGAGTTCGCATTGTATCCCCCGCGATTTGCGTTACCCCCGGAGCTGTTGGAAGATGTCGGTGGTGGTGGGGGCGGTGGTGGGCGATATATGTAATCCGACATCTTTTGTTATATTCAGTTAATTACAGAGATTTGTGAAGAAAAAAAAACTTGGCTTGTAGCTCGGTTGTATTACCAGACAGGGATTGAAGAAGAGCCGCAAAGCTTGGATGTCTTGAGTTGGGTTGGGCCGGGGTGAATGATGTAAATCATTTATCGGCTTTTCTCGGCAACGCGCTGGACTTTCGGGTTCCCTCCCAACTTCCAGAACGGTCACAGAATTATATAAATTCCGAGGCACCTACATACATGTATATAGCTCCCGTGGGGATATAGAACATAGGGGCACCGCGTGATCTCCGTCATAGAGTATCACTCGCACGCTTATGGTTCATGGGGGGCATCTCGTCATAATGTTGTTTCTCCAGTGACGTTATTAAAACACTTTTAAGCGTTCGTAAGGCTAGATACATGTGCCTGACAACCGCCTGTCGAGGTTCCCAAACACGTGAGCAGTAGAGAGATGAAGCTTGGCGTTCTGAGGTCTGCATAGACTTGCGTCAGTAATGGCGCAACGTCGGCGACCGCCGCTGCACTAAAACCTCTTGACGTTTGAACCAACACCACCGAGACTGAGTCAAACATATTCTGTAAACTGAACGGACGGACCGACCTACAATGATACCTACACGAAGACTCCTAGGCCCAGTGTAAACACCCCCGCCCCCCCTGCTTCGATGTGAATAAAAGTGAGGAAGCTTACGCATGTCCCTCCAAATAGAGCCCCTCGCTCGTCATACTACCAGTCCGACTATACACAAGGGCCGTCTCTCATTCGTGCTCGGAAACCCTTTTTGGTCAAGAACCTTCTCACCGGCGCCGCTATTCTGGCGCTGACTGGGTCAATCTGTAATGAGTTCCCTGGTCGTATCAAGATAGAGAATCGTAACGCACGATTGCTGACATGTAGGAATATATAGACCTCTACACAATCAAGGCTGTCGCCCAGGACAACTTTGAGGATGTAACAGTACCAGATGCACCCACCCAGCCTGCAAAGACACCGAATGTGGGCACTAGTACTATCACAAGTGGACCTTTAGGAAAATGAGTTATGGATGATAAGTTGGGAGGGGTTAATTTGGAGACATTATAAATTTAGTGTAGTAACGGAGCAGTCTTTAGTTCCCCGCTCAATTCTGTATAAATTATTAGTACAGCTCTCGTGTCCAAATAATACTTAGCATCTGCGATTTCATATCTACATGTAGCTCTAGTCTGTTGTATCGTTCAATATTTGAGGCTGGTTAAAAAGCATTTCCTTGGCAGGCGTTTCATTTTCCAACAAACGCGCCACACCAACAATAGAATATGTTGCCCGGTGTTGCACACGTCCTCGCGAACCTTCAACAAAGCGACGTCCGACAGCATCAATCTCAATCTTTTCGCAATCGATCCATTTTCTTCTTCTTCCAGAGGGTAAACTACTAACATAATAATACCTCTGCTTCCTAACCCCTCGAGGAGATAAGATTTCCTGGAGCAAAGCTAAGAAGGGGGGAAGGCTGAAGGAAGCGGCTCAATTTCCTCTTACACTGCCAGTGCTGGCTTCTATTATTTACCTACCTCACTTCTTACTACACTGTTGCCCCTGTAATCTCATCCTCCCCTTCCAACCTCCCAGTTCTTTTCCATTTTCGCGTCGTAATAGAGCAACGTACCATACCCGCTAGAGCAGGCCAGAACAGAGAGAGAAGAACAGGAAGCTAGCCAGGCAAGTCTGGCCAAGAAAAGAAACAGGCCATAAGGCTCGAAGAAAAAGAAGTACATTTCGCAGGCCAAATAAAACATCCCCCCCAAAGAGAAGAAATCACTCATAATGGCCGCCACTCCCGTCGCCGACCAACTCCGTCAACTGGGCGATGCCCGCGCTCTAGTCCTCGGCGACCCTGTCTACTGGCCGCAAGTCCTCCACGGGATCCTGCCTATCGTGTCTGGACCTATCGTGGAGCTACGTCGTTGGGGAGCTGACTTCCTTGCAGAGACCTTCTCGACGCCCGTGGTGGATATCAACGAGAAGCAGAGTCTGGCCGTGACATGCTTGGACACTATGGTGAGGTTGATGGACGAGAAGGAGGCGGGCATCCTCAAGAGTGTGGTCCAGTGTAGTGCGAGTGTGTATCCGCTGGTGTTCAGGTATATGTACGTGCTGCTGCCACCACTGCTTTGGTTTTTTGAAGTTCAAGTTTCTTGCCTTTGCCTATCCACTCTATCCATTTATTTTATTTCCAGTCCAGCCCATTACTCCCCTAAATCAAGGAAAGACTCTAGTTCGTCCACTTGAGTTTGATTTCCTGCGCTCCATGTTGCTTTTTTCTTCTTTTTTTGTTTTTATTTGGTGTTGCTTTTCTGGAAAAGAAGGCAATGACATGGGGAACGATTTACTGAGACCGAGTGCTTTTCTTGCCCTTATTAAATTTCCAGGTGCAATAATCGAGATGATCAAGCTACATGGGACAAAATGGACATGATCAAATCCAAGATTCTGAGTCTTTGGGATTCAGGGCCAGTGGGTGTGCGCTTAGGGTGTATCAAGTTTGTCCAGCGTGTCATATTGGTGCAGTCGAGGGGAGTCACGGACCCTAGAGTGAGTGTTTTTTCTTCTGTATTAGCTTTATTTGATAATGCTCCCTTCCATACTTCCCGACGTCACTAATAGCTGAATTGGTCGGGGGTGTATAGCTTGCAGACAGGTCAGAGATATCATTGACTATGGTCCCTACTAACCACCCTGTACTCTCCTTGCCTGCACTGGATGCGGAGGCGCAAGGTCTACTCGATAGGCTTCTAAGTATTCTCCATGAGGATCCAAGGTTGGACAAAACTCTCATTTAGTTCATCAATTCATTCATTCATCTACTACTCCCCCCCCCCCCCCCCCCCCCCCTCCTTCGCAAACCCCTCAGTAGATAATATTATAGGTATTGATGATCAATTTCTCGACAATCTGTCTATAGTGATCCTGCTCTCATTACGGCAACCTTGAATAATTTGTCGGTAATTGTCAAGACGCGCGCCCCACTCGCACACAAGATCTTGAGTGCCGTGATGAACTTCAACCCGCTGGCCATCATCGCAAAGGCGAATACTGTAAAAAACCGTCTCATGATGCAGTGCATGGAGAAGACGGTACGGGTGTTGTTGATGAATATTGCGCGGTATTGCCCCCACATATTCTAGTTGCGAAGGAGCAATGCGGCGATGGGGATCACTGACTCTCTACTCCTCGGTGATAGTGCGAACCAGAACGGCCCATACACGGCCAAGATCTCTCAACACATCACTCGTCTCTCGCAAGCAAAAGCTGAGGTCCTCGAAGAGTTATCTCGAAAGAGACCAGCCCCTACCCAGACCCAGCCTGAGGCCGAGGCGATCAAGAGGATGAAGGTGGAGAATGCGCAGGCGCAGGCTGTAATCACACCCACAGCTACACCACCCCCGCCACCACCTGTTGCTGTTATCACTGGACCAATGACTTATGGACAGCTTTATACGCTTTCGACTGATGTAGCCATGACTAGCTTTGATGGGCAGCAATTGCCAATTGATTTGGTGTTACAAATCATTGTAGGCAGTATCAACAGTTTGAGTCAGCAGACTTTACAGACGGCGATCGCGGTATGTTTTCTTATGTTTCTCCCTTTTACGAATTAGGGAGGTTGCTGATTGGCAGGTTATATAGGCGGTTAACAGCCGGTATACTGCGCTTATGGCGTATGTACCACCAGCTTCCGTGCCAATTCCACAAGATGGTCAAGTAAGCCAGGCTGCTCAACCGGGGGCTGAGGAAACGCAAGGTGAGCAAGTAGAGCAAAGAGATATCGAAAAAAAAGAAGAAGACGAAGAGGAGGAGGAAGAGGAACGTGAGCTCCAACTCGGGAAATTCCGTCTCCCTCCTCCAACCTCACTTGCCCCGGAGGAAATGCATGATATAGCTATCCAGGCCATAGACAGAATGTTTTCCGTTGTGGACCAGTTTGATAAGACCTCTCTCATCTCGCGGAAAAGTAAGCTGGGAGCGAATAGGCTAGCGGCTAGTAATTGGGATAGAGAGGGTTGGATCGCTGTCCTTACTAGACTAGCAACTCGTGGGATGGGTGATACTGCGCCTGATACTGTGAAGGAGGAGGTGAAGGGTAAAGATGAAGAAAATGGAGAAATCGCTCAAATGCAAGTCCCAACTGCCCTAAGCACAGCGATCCGCGAGAAACTGTACAACTTTGTCATCGCCGATTTCAGAGGCAGGATGGATGTTGCTGTGTCATGGCTCAACGAGGAATGGTATAATGACCAGGTGATGTCGCGCGCGGGGGTTAATAGGGAGCCGCAATACCGCAAATGGATGATGAAAGTTATGGATGGGATCTTTCCATTTTTAGAGAGTAAAGATAGGCTCTTTATGAGGTTGCTCTCAGAGATCCCAGAGGTTACGGTAGAGCTCATGCAGAAGGTTAAAATGCTGTGTTTGGACCCAGATAGAGCTATGCTGGGAATTCAGATGCTACAGTTCGTAATCACTCTCGTCATTTGAATATACATGGTGGATACTGACCAATGGCAGTTATTTGGCGATGTTGAGACCCCCGGTCAGGGATATGTGCATGGATGTCCTCGAAGATTTGTACCAGAACCGTAAGTTGCAACTTTTCTTACCAGAACTCTAAAAACATTGAACTGATAGTCTCCTACAGACGTCGAGGTCCGTGTTCAAGCTCAGAAGCTCTTGCAAAAATGGAGACCGGAGGCCCTTGCTGCCATAGATAACGCGCAGAACAACACCCAGAATGCAAATGGCATGACGGCCACTCTGGTACAGAGGAATGGTGCAACAGCCACGATTAACTAGCACTAAGCCTTACCGTATAATTGCTTTGGGGGATGGTAGCTTAGTTTTTACGTTCTATATCTTACTCGTTTCCCCTACCTAACATCTGCTTCTTTTTTGATTCCGTGTAGAAGTATTGTGGAACTATTTCCTGAAAAGCATGGGCCGGAGTTGCGTATTATTGATTTGATGTTCTACTTGTCACTGGTTGAGGATGGTTGAATGTGCTGATACCTATATTCTTCCTCTGCTCTATTTCCTATCTTACAAATGTCATCGGGAAGCTTGTATCACTACTACTATTATTATTTCCTCTTCGCGTTTTAGTAATGCCATGTAATAACGCAAACAATTAACCAGAATATGGCGGTGGTGATGATGACGATGGTGATATTCATGATCATCCCAGTGGAGTGAAACTGTGGAGAAATCATGGGCATATTGCATATAAGACATGGGACTGCCCCTTCTGCTCATCCCCTTGCAGTCCTTGCATGAGATAATGTTTATAAAAATCTTCTGGAAGACGTTTCAACGATAGATAGACTCAGGGATTGGCTGTCGGCCGGGGGTGATTATTTTAAGATTGTGTATGTAAGTGCAAGAAAGCGGGAACGAGCCTCACTCACCACAGGATTTAAATTTCAGTCTGAACAGTCAGACAGACGCCCGCCGACGTCTCAACCCAGACTGGTTCCGACCCCTTGAGCCTGTCAGGCAAGTGTCCCAGCGCGCAGCAAGGACTCAAGTAGATAGAGGGGCATACATAAGCGAAGAAATAGAGAGAGTGATACATGTAGATATAGTACCGCATGGCCGCCATATCTTCCACTTCCTCTACGTAAATTTACTCTTTCTTCTATTTTATTACACCCGCCCAGAGATATCATGACAAAACAATTCCAAGAGTTGCAGTGTCTACAAGTCCTTCTGCAGAACGATATTGGTGAGTCTATCCTCCACTCTTCCACTCCTGGTCCCTTTCTCACCTCATCTTCTCCTATCTCCTACCTATCATGTATTATCCCTTCCCATCTTTTGCTCTTGCCCTCATCATCATCATCCTCGCTACCGCGTTTTCGCCCCAAGAGATGTCTGTGCGGTTGGGGCGACCATAAATAGTGAGGCAAGTAGCAGATCCCGGCCAGGTAGGGAATTTAGGAAGGAGGGGGGTGCCTACCAATTCCCTTCCCTTGGTTGTTGTCTGTTGCTTGTTGCTGCTCTCTCAGTCTGTCCATAAACAATCCAAATTACACACATCTAAACAAATACTCTCTTCCCCAGGGAAAAAAAGGAAAACAAAATTACCAAGAACAGAACACATACTGAATTCGGGAAACTCTGGGCTGACGCGAGAACCTCTCCGACAAAATCGAGTTTGTTCGGAGAAATAAACAGACGATAGAGCTGAAGAGATATTTCAACTTGAACAACTTACTTCCGGTATGAACGGCAACACGCCCACCTCTGGCGACGATGATATGCCGCTGCCGCCCGGTGTTGTAACCCCCGACGGGAGAAACAGTAGTGATATGGATGGCCAGAGGACCCCAGATCAAAGGAGAAGTCTTGACGGCCGAGACGCGGTTGACTTATTGTCAATCTCTCCGGGACCGAATGGCGACATTTTCGATGGTACGACACAGCAGAGCTCGGGTAATCGGATTCAGACCGGAAAGAGTGGACGGGTGATTGAGAGGCTCATGGCGGAGAACGATCGGTTGAAAAGGGACCTGAAGACACAGACCACGGCGAGGGAGGAGGAGAGGAAGGAAAAGGAGGCTATCCGGTCATCGAGGGATTCGCTGCAGAGCACAAACGAAAATCTCATACATCAGACCAATGTCGACAAAACCTCGCTTGCTCGAAAGGATCGCAAGATCGAAGAATTGAAGGCGGAGAAGGAACGAGAGATGTCGAGACGTCAGGAAGCAGACTCGAGTCTTCACGAGCTTGTTAGGCAAAGTGACGTGAAGGTTCAGGAGCTGATGACAACCCTAAGCAATGAGACATCGGAAAGAAAAAAGGCAGTGAATCAATATGAAGTTCTGCAACAGAGTTGGAAGCATTTAGACGAAGGTTATAGGACAAGAGTTGATAGGTTACGAGCTGAGCTAGAAGCTTTACAGTCGGAGCGAGAGCGAGATCACCAACTACTGAAGCGGCTCGAGGTCACAATTGAACAACAAAGGCAAGAGGTCGAAAAGCTGCGGGTCGCCAAGAATCGGATTTCCGATAAATACACGAAGACCATGAATGATACCGAGAGAGAGGTTGGTGATATACGGATAAGGGCGGAGGCCACCGGGAGGGAAGCAAATGAGATTCTGGCTGATGCAAAAGAGACACTTGGAAAGCTACGACATGTTATGGCTGTTCAGAGGGACTTGCGGAAGACTTGAGTAATTCTGCATTGTGAGGGGTAGTCACATCACGCATGTGCAAGATGGTGTATTTCTCATAAATCGGTGCAGGAGTTTGGCGACTACTGTATGGTTGTTGATGTTTAAGTTCGATCTAGTGATTTTCATACTAGGGGACAGACCGGTTCTGCAGAATTGAAATGATCAATTAGGAGCATTGGGACGGGGTTTGGCTGGACAGCACACAAAACGGAGTTCTCTTTGTTTTCGTCTCTTACTCTCTCGTTTCTTGCTTTTCGTTTTTTTTACTTTTTTTTTGGATATCGAAAGTGCCCAGCTCGGTCAGGGGAACGGTGGTTGAATGGTGTTGGATGGGATTCTGAAGGGATCAAGTTGGTGTTATTTCTACACTTTTATACTACATTTTGCTTTAACTTCTTCATTGTCTAGATCGCACGGAGGAGGACTTGCAGGAGGGGTAGGTGGGATCTTGATCAATCTATGCCCATGTGTACTATAGAAGAGGCGGAATCTTTTTTCTTACAGGGATATTTCGGAGATTGTGCCAATGTTTTTATTTTATTATCTGTTCGTGTGTTCTGGTTTCTTTGTCAGTATATCTTGCGGTAATGATTACTACATGTAGTGTTTTAGTACTTTCTTTACCTTCATTTGGCGAGCGTACTATTCCCCTAGCTACACCCTATGTTCTTCAACATCTGTTTTTCTTTTATGTCTCTTCTTCTCTTCCAGTATCTTAAGGCTTCTGTTTATACATTTCGGGACTTCATTTTTTTCTCTTTTTTTTCTTCTGGTATTTTCTCAAGAAACTATATCACTCACCCAAGTCAAGTATTTCATTCTAATCTAACAACTTCATATCTAGAGGTCTTTGGCAAATATTGTAGCTAGTGCCGCTATTCTTCTGTATATATTGCGACCTTCTGTTGCGGATAGGACTAAACTAGTTAATTATTCGCATACATCTATGGGAGATACGCATCGTAGAACTAGATACTACATACAGATCAGCTTATCTCCATCGCTATTGTACATGTCTTGTGTTTACTTTTCTATTTCCCACGTGTGCCAAATTCACGAGGTGATCTAAGCTCCTACTTATCACTATGCCGTTGGTAATCTCTAGCTAGAATACTGTCATACGGAATATAGTTAGTCTCAGGACGAGGATATCGATTTTGCGAGGAGGTTCATCAAGCCTTGGCGCAAAATTATCTTTGTCTAGACGGTTCGAGTGACCACCCATGATCCGGAAATCTTATAACAGAAATGCCTCAGAACGCTTAGAGCTACAAGCTACAAGGAGATATTTGGAGCTCCAAATATATTTAGTTCTTAGTGGGGTTTCTGAGCTTGTATCCTCCGTGTCGTATGTATCTACAAGGAGCCACCCGTGCCCTTTATGACATCAATCAAGCCAAGTAATGTAATGCTCTGGGCTTAGAATGTAGGCGTTCCCGAGATACAGTGGAGTCCCGATAGTAGCAACCTCGATAATAGCATATCCTCGATAGTAGCATATAGTTGGGCAATCTCAAACGAGTCGGTACGGGCAAAGTTGTTCCTGATACAAGCATATCCCCGATAGTGGCACACGAAAATACGTTCCCGACCATATGCTATTATCGAGACTCCACTGTAATAAGGCATTACATGTACTTTATACTACTTGTAGAAATGAACATCCACATTTTCTTTGTAGTAGGGCATAACCATAATTATCTTATTGGGTGTTCTTCTCGATTGTGCATGGGTTCTAATGTACTTTACTTGCTGGATTTTTTACTGGGTCTGGAATTAGAGTACATGTAGTGGGAAACGGCCTCATAAGGAGGCTTCCCCTTACTTTCACCTACATGTAGTTGCTGGATTTGGAGTAGTAAAAGAGTCAGACTCAATAAAGAATCCGGCAAGTACATGTACTTACTACATGTAGTGCTTTCTCTAAATTTGAGGCTCAATATAACGCCAAGGCGGATAAGGCGTCCAGCCCTAACACCAAAGCTACATGTAGCTACCCAACGTCTTTCCCTCTCAAACCCTGCCTTCTTTCAACTTACTAAGTTACAAGTTATCTTTCCATCACCAGAAGTAAAAGCCCCCGCTCGTTACCTCTCACCAGTGGTAATTCGTATTTAACAATTGTTTCAAATAGGATTTCTAGTTGCGCTCTATATTCTAGCCATGGCTGACGACCCTAGTATAGTTGTCACGATCCGCACGGTAAGTCCTGAGATCTATACGAAGTTGAAGTTTGCTGAAGAAATCAACAATTTAGGTTTTTGAGTATGGCCCTATTGCTGTAGACAGTCTCATCAATGCCTACAAGTAAGCCAACCTAATCTCTCTGTTTGCGGACATTTCCTAAGTTCATATATATAGGCAAGAGAGTTATGCGAACTATGTTGAGTGCAAATTCAACCCTATAAATCACGTAGTTTCCCTAGAGATGTTTGTTAATCTCCGAAATAACAAGCTAACCCACCTCTAGACGTTCGTTCTAGAAGGGGATAGGAGTCATGCTGAAGTTGCATTTACGAATTTCATGGAGTTGATCCGCAAAGCCATCGATACAGAGACATCGAAACGCCGTACACCAAAGGTATTGGCCCCCTCTTGTACATACCTCGCAATAACTGAGTTAGGTCTAGGAATATGCGCCCATCCACCGTTCTAGGCTCACGAAGCTTAATACACCAGCTGTTGAATGGTCAGAAAGAGAAGATGAACCCAGAGATTCTTATAAGAAGCAAAATGACATCGTAAGCCTATTTTAAAAGGAGAGCTATTGCAGGGACTGAATTTAGAATAGGTTTCTTCGAGAGATCCAAGATATACCATACAAAACCCCTCTACGTTAGCGGATATGACTGGCAACTATCCATGCATCGAATATTGGGAACCAAGGATTACAGCGGCGGATTTTAGTTTGATGTTACATCTCCATGATGGACATAGTCTCACGAATGAAATTGCAAAGGTGTGCTATTGCGCTGTTTTCCCAGACTGGGAAAAGAGGAATGTCAAGATTGGCGCCAACAGTCGCCCGACAATCGAGAAAGTCCTCAAGAAACTCAGAAAAATTGAAGAACTCTTCGTAGGTTCTCCCTAAAAAATATATATATATAATTAAGCTTTGACTAATCCCAAGAAGAAACGCGGATTTGAGCCAATCTCTGTAATTTTGGTTCATCCCGAGGAAAAGAGGAAGTTTGAATTCAAGCTAGTCCCATTATCGAAGCAGAGTGAGCTGCAAAGGACGACACTGTTTTATGACAAGTCTAAATGGCAAACATATGGCGCTGATAAGATGTTCCTTATTCGACTTCTGGAATACGATCCTGACTTGGATCGGTTTTTCCCATGTGATGTTGCAATAGCACCCATTTGGGCAGCATTCACACGATCTGCATCTGCACCACGTGATTGGGCGGAGTATATATTTGATGGCTGGGGTAGTCAGGATATGAACCCGACCAATGTGTCTAAGAGGCTAGTCTCTAAGAAAGTACCGGAAAGCCCTGACCTCTCAGGTCTCAACCCCGAAGATCTTGTAGGCCAATACAATACTCCTGGAGGTGCAGCAGCACAGACTATTACCAAAGACGTGCCTGCCCCTAAACCTGCACGTCAAACACAGCCTAGGGTCGGTGGTGGGTTTGAACTTGGTGATCGACCAGAAAGTGTAGACTTGGACGAAAGGGCATCGAAACGCTCCATGACCGGTGCCATACGTGTTCCTAGAGTGAGAGCCGGTAAAGAAGCGCTCCTCGAAGAACATGAAAGCCCGAAAGAAGAGGGAAGAAAAGCTAGTGTGATATCTAGCGGATATAAAGAACTTGCTGCTTTCGATCGTACTGTCGAAGCTGAGGACGAGGGCGAGGGCGACACCTCGCTGAAAACTCATAGCGTTATATCTAACGCTTTCAGTCTTCCAGAGAGGCATCTTGGAACTGGTATTGGGAGGGCGGTTAATATACATGGTTCCTTTGTAGAAAGGGAACAAATAGGCGCTGTTGCTTCAAGGACAGTCAGACAACCAAGAACGAGGAAGCCAAAAACAAACACCGAAGCTTCTGATAAGGAAGGTGTCTCAGAGGCAGATACTCGAGAAATTCGGAGCACTATGAGACAGAAGGCGCCTAGCCACAGAGGCTTATTTGACGGGCAAGATCAAAGCAAAAAGTTACCATCTATCCCCAGCTACATGCATGTACACATATGTTACAATATTGACGAGATGTAGGCTCAAACAATCAAACAGCTTAAAATTCTATGATACAATTAGCAAGAGGTAAAACTTAGGATATCTATTTGGCCGTGGCAATATACTGATATATTCATGTTGGTAGCTTTGACCATATTCGTAGTTGGCGGGGCCACGTTACTTTCGAAGCTTCGTAAGTCGAATTACCACATATACGTTTGAATACCCTGGAGTGCTTACTTTATGAAGATTAGGACGTATCATTTTAGCCGATGTTCCCAAGTCACTCTCCAGGGGCAGTATTGACTGGACTGAGTGGTGGCAATCGTTAACGAAAGCCCCGGAGATAAAAACGATATTTACTGATTTGTAAAGCCATTTGTTGCCTATGATGTTGAAGATATGAGTGCTAATATGACACACATTCAGAATCACCACCGAATTTTTCGACATGGAGTTTATCTCCGACTTAAAAATGAGCAAGGCCGAAATGCTCTTTTCTCCGGACCATATCAAAAAGACGGTTACCTACGAGTTTCATTGTAAATATAAGGGGAAAAACTAGTATGATTTCACTTCTAATCCCCCCCACCTTTTTTTTCTCTTTCTTTTCTTTTCTCTTACTGGACACTGTCGCTGATCTGTGTAATAGTATCATGGAGGTTAATGCCAGAACTTTTGAGGCGACCATCTACGGCGACCAACAAGCATTTGGTAGTGTTTACTGGGCCCATCCTCTTAGGTTTGTCTGTTCGAATTCATATGAGGATAATCGATTGAACTTGTTCTAGGTCATGGGATGCCAGATTTGCTCTCGTTGGGAGAAAGATCATTGATAATGAAACGCCCGTCTTCAAGAATCTTTTCGAAAGTCTCTGGATTCCAGGTGATTCTGATATTCCAAACGTCAGTTTTCTTGTGAGGGGCAAAGACTTTTCTGTCGACAGAGTTATCGTCAAGCGGGAAACTCGGCGCCCGTGCATTAGTAAAAAGGTCACAGAAGGACAAGATATCGACCTTGTTTGCAAAGAAGTAATGGAGATGATCATCAGGCGTAGCAAGCGAGTACCCGAGCAATATAAGGCCGTCGCTCATGACAGGTAAGATAAACCATTCCCGTTGTAGCCCACGAGGCCTCTAGTTCGCATTGATTCCAAGGGTTTGAGGCACACCGAGGCTTAATATCCCGAAGCCAGACGAAGCCAAGGGTCTAAACAAGAGAATTTTGTGCCCCGACCTGATGACCTCGTGGACTACACACACAGCTTTCTCTAGTTCCTTAATCTTAATTTTTTAGCGAATTATGCTCATATCGTTTAGGTTGCACATGGTGTATTCTGGCATGCTTCATTATTCGTTCGCTCTGATTCCAACCAGGATTGAAAGGGCCCTGCAACAAAACACAAACCTCGAGATTGGTGAAGAGGTTTTGTGGACAACAGGCGATCTCATCGGTAGATATAACGAGGGTGAGAGCAATATTTTTAGAAGTCTAGAGTCGCTTGTCTTCACAATGCTAAAAAAGACTGATGATATCGGGTTTAACAATAACAATGGGCCGGATGAGATGGAATTCGCGTAAGAATAGTCCTATACTTTCTTTTCTCACCACTGTTTAGCTTATTCCTTTACTCTTTTCAATCTCTCAAAAATTTCCATTGTAGTAAGTCATGAAATTATTGCCATAACTGTAAAGTTGCATGCAATTAATGAATTAAACAAAAAAAAAAAAAAAAAAAAAAAGTCATGAAATTCGCTTGAACTGTAACGAGTGATAATATATGATCATACATCACGCGCTAGGATAATTTTGTACCCTTTCCGAAGCTCTATGATGCCACCGCGAGTTTATCTCCGATTAGGTAGTAACGCACTATTATGTCTAGGTGGTTTTACTACCCTGTTCACATCTGAATTTATACACTACAGGCTGACTCAAGATTTCAACATGCATTCTCACTGTACTACATGTATGATAGTCCGATCAGTGAACGCATCCGTGTAGTCAACTTTAATGGAAAGCATTCCGAGGGTTAAACCACTACTAGCCATATATATAGACATGATATGGTTCCTGAATTCTCGACCTATTGGCTATTAGTAAGTTGTTAGTAAACCTCGCCCGCATGTCGCACGAGGCCAGCCACCCATCACGACTAACCAGTTGTACTAGCAAAGACCCAAAGTCTCCGGGTCCCGTGATTCTTAACCTTATTCCTCCCACCATAATGCTAGAAAATAGCCTATACGTGACCCGAGGACTTTGCGTCTTTGCTAGTAATTTAACTGACCGAAACTGTAAAGTCAGAGTTGCACCTAAGTACATATGTTTCTCGAATTAGCATGATAGACCGTCTAGTCTCAGCGAATGGCTATATAGTAGACTAAGCCTTAGACGGTATTAATAAATCTTGCTTAAAGCTGCGCTAGACCTAACCCTGGCGCTAAGCCGTCTCTGGACACTGATCCCGTAAATATTATCATTACCCCATGATTACTAAACTTAAAACAGCACGATGACCTCCTATCTAGCCTACCTTTCGTTTTATTCAGTGAACTAGTTACCAGCAGGCTGGCTCGGCCCCGAATGATCCTGCTCTTCTTTGGATATATACATAACATACAAACAATGGACCTAATGTAAGTTATTGAAGAGGTTCGCTCGATCTCTCCAGTTTCCAGGGTATTTAATTCGCTTCACTATATGCATACAGTATACTATGCGTATATGTACATATAGTCAGGTACATCTTTGATCCATAATATGGGAATGTAGCTTCAGGCTGAGTGCAGACGTAGAGCGCTCTTATACCCAGATATATGCCAAAGACTGACTACCAGCGACTATGACATATATACCGGACAAAGCTCCAAGGCTCGCAAAATGAATTTGGCTCGCTGAATAATTGCTAGCTAAACTTATATAGGCAACTTTGTACTATTCTACCCGACATTCGGGGCATTTCAAAGCCACCAAGGACGTTGATATGCGTGCAATGTAGACCCAGGGGATATGGACCGCAAACTGGCCTGTCTTTGTATAGCATGTATGTGCTTTGAAGGGAATTTCATACATGTAGTACTGAGGGAAATTTGACAGCTTTCTCATTTGTCACTACTCAGGTTATACGAGGGGAGGGTGGCTTAGGACATCAATTTTTCCTTTTGAGAAAACCACTGATTGAAATTACTTATCTGGACATCTCAAATCGCAAAACTTTCAACACAGAAAGACCGTAAAAATGAATCCAACGCCACCCACCATCCCTTAGAAAAAAACCGATATTTCACCAAGAAGAAAAAACCCCTCCAGCAATAATCCCGAATTCTGCACAATTTAGCTTTTACTACGGAAATAATACTTTCCCAGCACTTTTGAAATAAGAATAATTGAAGGGCAATCTATAGATGGAATTAACCAGGGTCTAGACCTGTTAACCTGCGATGTTAAGTTCTTCCTTCCAGGGTTTAAACATCAATCATATCATGGGTATTTGTTTTCCATGTTGGGCACCTTCAATGTCACCATTTTTCTAACACTCCATGGACCTTTGGACGGATCTGTGAGGACATCTTAGAGATTTATCAAAGAGAACGAGCTGGGGAACTAAAAATTACCTCCTGAGCTTCTTATTATATTCCTTTTTATCCTCCTTAGAGCCCCAATATAATTTTGAGGCTTCTTGGTTGACCTGCGTACGTGGATCGTAGGGTGGATTTTCTTCCTCCATGAGATGAATGATAGCATCAATGTGATGACGCCCATCATCATATCTTCGGGGGGAATAACACGGAATACCATCGGCTAGGTTCGCAATACGTTAGCAAGCTATATTTCGAGGGTATCTTAAAGCCATCCATACTTGTGATCCTGTGGTGATAAAGATGTGTAAGAAATTTCGCTCGTGGCTGCTCCTCTGGAAACCTTGGACTGAATGCCAATTCAAAAGTGAATAGACCGCCATCTAGGTTTGTCATCGGTCGTCCAAAGTAGGTCTGATGAATATATTAGTCGTTTGATACATATGCGTTATAATGTCTGGAATTTTCACGCACAACTCGCCAAAGGAACGGATTTCCATTAACCAATTCAACGTCTAGTGTGACGGAGGTTTCTTTCTTGAAGTGTTCCACTGTCTGCTCAAACTGCCTCTGCAAGTTTGCCGCAACACCACTTTCCTTACCTTTCAGAATCAACCCTTCATCCGCCCAATCCTTAGTCTCCTTTTCAAGCCGCTCTTTGATAAATCTAAGTCTTCTTTCCAACTCGGAGTACAAGAACTTCCCTTCCATTGCATTTCCAGAGTGCTCAAACGGCATCCTAGCGAATACTTGGTTCTCCGTGACCTTCTCACGCTCTGTGGCGATGGAAGCGACATAAGAGTCATAATACCAAAGAAAGCGGCGTTTACAGAGATCCTTGAAAGGCTCAAACACTGCGGGGGCTTCTGGATCAACTATACTAGAGTCTTCGTCATATGCGTCCTGTTCCATTGGACTAGGCACGGATTGAATTGTGCCGTCTGGATTGATGCCAAGATGTTCTTCAAGCCTGGATATCACAGAGACACGGAGTGTTTCGTGACGAATCTGGAAATTTGGAAACATAAATAAGCACCTTGTCTATAACATAGGTAACAATCTGGGAATTACTTTGAGACAATACGCCTTCATGTTTTCTTTATCGTGATCTTGGTTTGCATTCTCAAAACCGGGCTCATTCTCATACGGGTTAGAGGACATGAGGCTCTGGATTGAGATTAGAATGGATTCAAGCCCTTGTGCTGAAGACCACTCCTCTCCACGATCTCCTCTCCATGTTCTGATTTGATAACTGTAAGCGTAACGCTCTTTACTTGTAGTGGATTTTAAATTCCTACCCTAAGATCGATCTGATTTTGTAGTAAGATTAGCTCTAGGACAAAGTCGATAAATATAGGCGAACTTACAAGCAAACCTTTCCCGCCGCATATATATTTGGATTAAATCGACACCTTCCAGAATTTGTTGTTAAGGAATTAACTGCCGGGGCCTTTGCAGGGTAATCTATGAAGTAGCATTATGAGCTCAAGGTTGCATTTTTTTGGAGACATGGCACATGTTATAGGGTGTTAGTATTGATTTCAGCTCACCTCTACCAAATTTCAGTGAAAACTGAAAAAGCAGCTGGAGTTAGCGTGAAATAATGGAGCGATATTTAGGAGGTTACTGCTATTTGGGGCTGAATGAAGCTTGAGGAATGGAAGCAAAAGAACATAAAGGAAAAAGAGGCGTGAGTTGGGATAAAAACCTCGAAGAAACCGAACTCGTATGGCGTGTCTGGAGGTCCCAAGATGATGGCTTTGACGTTTCGGACATCCGAGTCTTTACATGCCACAGCGATAGCTGAAAGCCCGATGTTAAAACTGCATTCGAAGCGATGTAATGATTAGCAGGGAAGTAGCTCACATAGGTCGTTTGACTTTTTGATCTCGCTGAGCTCCTATAAGGCGGGGTTAATGAGGGGTTCTTGGGGAATAAGAATAATTATTGATTCAGAGGAGTAACAAACCCTAGTAAGACGTATGATAGATTGGTTCATGTTGGCTGGATACAAAGTAGTCGTAAGAGAGATTAGTTCAAGAGCTGGGAACCTAAAGAAGGGAGTTCAAGAGGTATTTGCGGAAGAGGCGAGGCACCAAGCTCAAGGGTCAAGCAAGGCTGAAGTGTGGAGAAGAGACACAAAAGTAAGCAGGGAGATGGAGAAAAGTAGTAGGTTCACTGTTTGCTTCCAATAGGTGCAAATCTAGTACTTTCAGAGTTGCAGGAAGACTCACAGACAGCAAACAGCTGTAGAAAGTGCAGCACGACTACACAAGCATCACCCATCGTGCAGCTCTGCCCTTGGCAGATGACAAAGAGCAGGCCTTTCCGTATTTGGTTAGGGAAGAGGCCCCTCCACACCCGCGATGCCGAGTTTGGAGAGGAGGGACCCTTCAAGTCTTCTCCTCCAAACAACCTCGTAGAGCGACCATCATTCATGCAGTGAGCACTCGCCGTCTCGCACCGCCTCTCTATCTCCATTGACATCAACCACCTAAAGTACCATGGGTAACCTGAACAGCCGATCTATCTTTATTTTTACACTCCCATCAAACAAGTGAGTTTCAGCAACCGGCGTCCCTGGGGATTCACCAGCAGCCTCCAGATGGATTTATCTCTCGCTCCATCTGTATCTCAGTGGCTCAATACTTGCTTAATCCTCTGAACCCCCGCTTACAGTGTTGTGATATCAAAGTTGCAGCCTTCTGTCCCTTGCAGTGCACCAGTTCTACGGGCGCTGCTACCTAGCTGAGAACCTTTTGAAACAGAACCTGGCATGTATCTAGAAAAACCGTAGACGAATATACAAAAAAGGTCGACGCTCTTCGTGTCTCGATCTTTTTGGTTGTCGCGTGCTAGGCGTTAGGTACCTGCGGCTGGCGGTGCTGTTCCGGTTGCAATTGCATTCTGGCCTCGCCCGCTGTCGATTAGTTCTCTGCTCTGCTCTTCCAGTCGTGGAATTTGTTAGCTTCATTTTCCAGTCTCACCTACTTCTCCCCACAACGCAGCCGTGCCCTGGTTGTCTGTCTGGTTGTCCTCAAACACCCAACCTCTCCCGCAGCCCCAAAATAGCCACTCTTCCTCCTCCGCAATCCCTTCTCCACCGCTGGTGCTTCTGCTGCTGCATCCCATCTCCGCTGCTCTGGATAGATACATCCTTCGCCATAGAATAGTTGTTTGGTGGATAGAAAGACTGACCACTCCTTTAGCATTGCCTTCCCCCTCTCACGTACATACCTACACGATTCCCCCCCCGCTCTTTTGGGTGTGTGTGTGCATGGGCCATTGTCGCCGAGGGCTTGTCACCGGCTCCCTTGCTCTTCCCATAACCACCCCTTTCCTCCTCGACGACCTCCTCCAGTATCGTCAAAATAGCAACGCTTAAATTTTAATTTTTAAGCTCCCAGAAACTCGGCGTGCGTGACAACTCTGTTCTGTTACCAATCTCATCGGTCGCCGAGCGAGAAATAATTACAACCGAAGCTTTGCATCTAGGGCTCCCTCGTTATTTTCTTTCTAATTTTACTTTTTCCCTTCATTTTGCTTTAGACCAGTCTTTCGACAACTGAGCAGCTAGGCAACCCCGTCGAGAATATTGAAATTGCTTCCACATTTACGAGCCAACCTTTTTTTAAAGATCACATGTCTGCACCATCAGACGGGCCTGGGCGTCCTGTAATCGATTCACAGCAAGACCTCCCTCAACTCACGACCACATTACCAAGTCCCTCAACCTCCCAATCACGAAACAGACAGCTTGATGATCGTTCTCCTACATCCCCAACTGAGCCTGTACCTGTAGGAGGGGGTGTTGTTGTCGGACCGACTCATGGGAGCTCCCCTAAAACTACTCGAATTTGTGGAAAGTGTCAGGGTCCTTTAACAGGTCAATTTGTGCGTGCTCTGGGCGGAACATTTCACTTGGATTGTTTTAAATGCAGGGTAAGTTTTGTTCAGCCTTATGTGATTTTGTTCCTAGAGTTTGCTGTTAATTTGATTTAGGACTGCGGAGTAACAGTAGCCTCCAAGTTTTTCCCCGTGGACGAGGAGGAAGGAGAAGGCCAATATCCACTGTGCGAAACGGATTATTTCAGACGCCTAGACCTTCTTTGTCATGAATGTGGTGGAGCGCTAAGGGGCTCATACATTACTGCCCTAGAACGGAAATACCATATTGAGCATTTTACATGTTGTGTTTGTCCAACAGTGTTTGGGCCACAGGATTCCTACTATGAGCATGACGGCAAAGTTTACTGTCATTACCACTACTCAACCCAATTTGCAGCCCGGTGCAACGGATGCCAAACCGCAATTCTAAAGCAATTTGTGGAAATTTTTCGGAATGGACAGAATCAACACTGGCACCCGGAGTGCTATATGATACACAAGGTCGGTTTTTTCCGAGAAGCTGGAGGGGGATTTTTGCAAATACTATCTCTACAAATTTTATTATAATATTGTGTGCTTTTCTGGGCATTTTTGCGGAATATTTTCGTTCAAATGGCAAGAATAACCGCTAATATTATGTTATTTGGTTTATTTTTAGTTTTGGAATGTTCGGCTTGCGCCTCAGGAAACCGGAGAACCAAAGTCGCCATCTGTAGAGGACCCCTCAACTCAGAGGCGCTCATTGGTTCGGGATGCCGAGGAGAAAATGGAAGACAAGGTCTATCGTATCTGGAGTGTATTATCATCTTTCGAAGAATCTTCTGCAGCATGTATTAGTGACATGCTTTTACATGTCTCTAATGGAGCATATGTAGACGGCGTCTTCGTGGCTGAAAAGTTCATTTGGCATGTCGAAATACTTTTCGGTTCCGCAGATAACTTGGATGCTCAATTCAGTGGCATGTCAGTGAAGGGTACGTTCTTTTGTGATGCACAGCGCTTGGCCCTTTTTCGCGGAATCCACCACAAATACCTATTTTTATTAGACATACGTCATAAAGCTGACTCTTTGATTACTACACGAAACAGGTTTGTCTTACTCCAGAGAAGCAAAGCTACTGTGTAAGAAGATAGTTGCATTTTTTAGTCTTCTCTCGAAAACTCAAGAAACCGGTGTAAGAAAACTCGGTGTTACACAAGAGCTATTATCGCTTGTTACTGGCCTTGCACATTACCTGAAGCTACTGATACGGATCACTCTGCAAGGCTCCTTAAGATTGGTACTAAGCTCCCGCTTCCCAATGCACCACCCGAAAGCTCGTCTAGCGGAAAATCATCTAACCACGTACCGGTATGTAGGAACGAGAGCACAACAACATTGATGCTTTAAGGTTGTTTCTTGAAGAGCTATCTGACTTAGAGTCCACCAAAGAACCAAAACAATCTCTTGAATCGACGCAGGGATTGTCGGAAAACCTAGCAGATCAGCATTCTGATCTCTGTACCGTTTGCCGCACCACCATTGAGGAGGAGTGTGCCAAATTTGATGATAAGAGGTGGCACATGAGTTGCCTAGCATGTTCAAACTGTAAACGGGAATTGAGGGGCCATCTTGACGAGACCACGTGGTTTGAAGCAGAACAATGTGTTTTCTGCACTAGTTGTGCCTCTCAAGTATCGGACACCCGTGGACCATTTGAGCGTGTAACACGCTTAAAACAATACGTCTATCTTCTACGTGTGGCACTTGCCCGGCTATTACTGAGACTTAGGCAAGGAGGGACACTCCCGCATACATCAGGTACGAATTATATGCTTGTTGGTTCCAAAAAGAATATCTAATAAGTTGTAACTTGGTAGATGACCCCAATCTTCGGAGTTACGATTCCAGCGAGGGTCATAAGCTTGGTAATATTGAACCTCCGCTACTTCGATCAGATACGCGGTCAAAGTCGTATAGTGGGGAACGCGGGGAACGCGGGGAACAAACTGAAGCCTACACCAACACGATAAACGACATCCGTAGGTTACGATCGACCCGCCTAGACCGGCAGCTTGGAAGTTCGGCGAAGAAAGCCCGTCAGTCCCGAATAATCGAAGGGCCGGAGGCAGACAGTGTGCGACCAGGATCCTCGGATGGACACCAAGTTGATAGGCGCCGTAATACAGGGCAATTTCACATAGTTGAGGACAGGGAATATAATGGAGATGAGCAGGAGGCTCGTACTTTTGGCGATGATAAAGTGCTAACTCTTGACGATATACCGCGAATTGTTGCCGCTGAGCAAGCCCGGGAACAACGGCCAAACGCGTTCAAGCACCACCGGCCCAATCCATATGGAGAAGCGGATGGACCAGGTCAGCCAAAACTTGTTAATGGGCATCAAAGAGATCTCTCAGTTGACAAATTACGAGATATGGGAAGCCAACAAGAACCTCCGCCACCACCGGTTAGGACAAAAAGATATTTTTCGGAACTATCTGCAATCGATTATTTTATCGTGCGACATATTGCAGTTCTTTCAATGGAACCATTGGTGGAAGGTTATTTTAATTTGGAGGAACTGTTAGGACTGATAGAAACCAACAAAAAAACATTTTGGGGGAAATTCGGAAAGGCATTCCAACCAGTTGACAAGAAAAAGGGTGCCAAAAAGAAAGGTGTTTTTGCCGCCGTAGTCAGGAACATCATGTCAAACAAGAAGCTTACAAAAACACTAGGTGTCTTTGGCGTGGCGCTAGACGTGCTAGTCGAGCGAGACGGCGCTGAATCGAGCATGGGTGTTGGCCCCGGAACTTTACGAATACCTCAAATATTAGACGACGCCGTGGTGGCTATGCGTCAAATGGGTAAGATCCTATCATACTATATACTTCGGTTACTCTGGTTAAAGGTCTCCTACTGAATGTCTCAGATATGTCTGTCGAGGGTGTTTTCCGAAAGAATGGCAATATTAGAAAACTGAAAGAACTCGCAGACCAAATAGATCGGAGTGAGACTCAAGTAGAGATGAGCGGCTGGGGCCCTGTCCAAATAGCAGCGCTTTTGAAAAAGTTCCTAAGAGAATTGCCGGATCCGTTACTAACATTCAAGCTCCATCGTTTGTTCGTGGCTTCTCAAAGTAAGTAATAGCCTGTAGTAAATATTATCACCTGGGATTGCTGACAGCGTGATAGAAATCATGGATGAAGAGAAAAAGCGTCGCATACTTCATCTCACATGTTGTTTGCTTCCCAAAAGCCACAGAGATACTATGGAAATTCTTTTTTCTTTCCTAAATTGGGCTGCGTCTTTCTCTCACATTGATGAAGAGTCTGGAAGTAAGATGGACGTCCACAACCTATCTACTGTTATCACACCGAATATTCTATACTCCCAAAAGAAAGAAGCTGGCATGGACGATAGTTTTCTAGCTATTGAAGCGGTGCACACACTAATAGCATGTAATGAGACTATGTGCGAGGTAAGAAACCAGCTTATAGGCATATCTAAATGGTGGTTGTTAATAATGGTTGTCTAAATAGGTTCCTGAGGACTTATTATCAATACTGAACGATTCCAATCTTTTTGCCAACGGCGCGGATGTTACAACTAAAGACATCTTGAAACGATATGGCGACCTTATTAATAGACCGGCTCCAGGGAGAACTCCTCAAACCACCAGTTCACCACCAAGGTCTAAGGATGGTAGAGCCCCAACAACCCCCGTCTTCCATCGTGTAGATACCGATCCATCTCAAAATGTTGCGATCCAAAAAGAATCTTCAGTTAGACATGTTGGTATGCCTCAACCTAACCAACCTGGCCAACATTTTCCGCCGAACGCCCATGCCCCAAGTGGTAATCCTAACCAGTACCACCGAGGGCATGGTCGTGGGAATTCCGGTTCAAGCCAGGAGGGCGATATTGGTCAGAACACTATACAAAATGGCCATGGTGGTCAGAATGGTCCTAACGGCCCTAACCATCATGGCGTCCTTCATCATCCCCCAAATGGTCAGAATCAAGCTCAATGGGGTAACCGACAAGGCCAACAAGGTCAAAATCATTCGAGCCAAAATCATCAAGGCCGTCAACAGCAGCAACAAGGCACTATGGGTGTCACTGGCCTAATCTAAGGGCCAAATTCAGTAGGTGTAATAAGGTGGGATATTGGCAAATGGATAAAAAAAAGTATTTTATTTTCAGAGCATTATTGTTCAACCTTCGTTTAATGGGTTCTCTATTTTAATTCATTGATAACCAACCCTTTCCTTTCTTCATTCATGGCTTGGGACGTTTTGGCCGTTTTTATTTCTCCCTTTACCCTTCATGCTTACTTACACAGGCGAGTTTTGTGGCACTTATTTGGGGAGCCAGGTTTGTTAACAAACTGTTCTATGCCACTTATTTGGTTTCTTTCCCTAGTTTCTTTCTTTCTCTTTTTTGGCATTTGGGATTGGAGTATGGTATGCGATACTTGGATATTCGGGGAGCGGGGCTTGGTGGATATGTTGGTGTTTACTTCTTTTTCCCCTCAATTTCACTTGTTCATGTTTTTTAGTTTCTTTTTGCGTTATACCTTGAATATTTTTTTCTTTTTCCTCTCGTCTTCAACTCCATTTCTCTTCTATTTTTTTGTTTGAGTCGAATTTCTGGTTGGCACGGCACTTGAATGTTTGAATCTTGGCCGGGATGGGGGGGAGAGGTCGGTCGGAAGGAAGGAGGGGTAAAGACCGGGGAAGTTAGGCTCATCAAAAAGGCGAGATTCAAGACTGGGCCACAAGTGCTGGTGTATTGAGTTATGAGGATTCCGAGCATGCTTCTGCACCATCAGTCATCGTCGTCATGTGTAATTTACCCTTTTTTAAAGACCTTTTTGTTATTTTTCATTTTCATTTTGCCTTTTATATTATATCCACTCTGGTTTTCTCGCTTCTTTTTTGATGTTCTGCTCCCCATACCCTTTATGTACTCTTCTGTTTTGCGCGCCTTGTCTGCATGATGAACTGTAACTAGAAAAGTGCGCGCGTGTCTATGTGCATAATAATGCTGCCCGGAGGTTGCTTGGAAAGGGTGTTTATCTTTTTTCCTTTCCTTGGCTTAGATAGAAGTTACACCATGAGCACAAGTGTGTTTCGAATTAATCGTTGTGGGGCTGGATGTGCCCAATCACAGCTGTCTGCCTCCCTCCTCCGGTAGAAGTTGGGGGAATTCTGGAAGAATCGAAAAACCCTAGCCCTACGTACTGCTGATCTCATCATCTGGTGATCATTTTATTTGAACATATCGATCATGCTTGCAGATGGGATTTCATCTGGAGATAGTTAGATTTACTCCAGAATAGAGTAGAGTACCTACATACCTTGGACAGGATGCTATGCAATGTATCTTATGACGTTTTGTCAACTACATAACTATTCTGCACTACGATACCTCGCGTGAGTAGTGGTTTTCTAATTTAGGGAAGGGATGAGAGGCATGGGCCCTGCCCGCTTTCTTAAACCCGCTCGCCGCTCCGGCCACAACCGAAATTATGATATCCATCAAACTCGGGTAACTTACCCTAAATCCACTCTGTTTAAAATTTTAGTTGTCTATTGCAGCTGTAAATAGATCTGGAGTATGAACTCTTAGAGCCTTCAGGCTTGCATGAAAGTGAGTATATATAACAGAAGGGCCGAGGGGAGAGCGGCAGCAGTTGCCCGAAAAATTCTGTTGGAAATCTTCTCACTTACCGGTATAACCTGACTGCGGGGTTTACACATTCGCAAAACCGTCACATTCATGATTTCAAGGTTACCCTGTCAGCGATTCTCGTTGGTGGAGAACGGAGTGAAAACCTTGGATGGTGGACCCATTGAAAATCTCACACACCTTCACCTTCTAGGGCAAGGCGCCACCCTCCTCCCTTCACCCTGCACCTTCTCGTCACCCCACCCACTCATCGCCACTCCCTCCCCTAGATCTGTTTTTTGTTCCCTTCCTCCCCTCCTCCTCCTTTCTTCCCAGTCCACTTATCACTCACGCTTGTGAATCGAAACGAATCCGTTCGTTTATACTACCAACCCCCCCCCCCCCTTCCACCCCCTGACGACTGACGACCTACAAGAGTCTGTCAAACTTGAGAGAAGAATCTTCACTCTCATCAAACATTTACAACATGTCGTCTCGATATGCCCAAACCCCGAGTCAGCAGCAACGCCCCGCTAACAGTGATTCCGGCTACGGTGGATCTGTTGAGGATGGCGACCGCGAGTTTTCGGTTTCAGTGCTTCCTGGACAATCATGTAAGTTGCCTGTGTGGTTATGTGACTGCTTTTTTCTCCCTTTTTCTTTGCCTCTCCAGTGGCATCGATGCGATCGCATACGAGGTGTGGCGATACTGACGTGAATGATAGCGGATCCCGAAAGAAGACAATGGGCAAGTCATGTCCACCAATTATACTTGTACGAACCCCATCCTCTAAACCTTTTAATCTATTACTTCGAGCCTTTTCTAACATTTCATTACAGCAACCAAAATCGTGTTGCTCTTGGACGATGGATCAGCCGAACTGTCGAGACACTGAAGGTAAGTTTGAGGTTGAAACAGGCTAAACAATGTGGTCGCATGTGACATGCTAATGTTTGATATGCAGAACTTCCAAACTGCGAATAGCAAATGGCCCGCCACTTACCCAGCAGTGCAGCGTGCAGAGGCACTCTCTGAAGAGGCCGAAACCTCCGAGCAACCCCGTCTTGTTACACCACAAATTGCGCAGGAATTTAACGTCCTCAAGCTTGATCTAAAACTTGGTGCTCTCTCGCCCTCCGAACTTGTACACTCTCTCGAGAAGTCATCTATCGCCTCGTTACTGGATGGAAAGATTGGGCAGTCCGTAAAGCACTTGATGCTCCTCCGGGATCGTATTGAGGATACCTCTTCAAAGGTCTTGGTTACTGGTGATCTCAACGCTGGAAAATCGACTTTCTGTAACGCCCTTCTCCGTAAGAAGGTACTCCCTGAAGATCAACAACCATGCACCAGTATCTTCTGTGAAGTACTCGATGCCCGCGAAAACTCATCGGTTGAGGAGGTTCATGCTATTCCCATCAATGGTGCTCTCTACAATCGACATGATAGCAGCACATACCATGTCTATTCCCTCGACCAGTTGGAAGAGATTGTTGTAGAGAACGATGTGTACTGCCAGGTTAAGATTTATGTTGAAGATGTCCGGGCAATCGACGAGTCTCTCCTGCGTAATGGGGTCGTTGATATTGCAATTATTGATGCACCAGGTCTTAACCTTGATTCTATTAAGACTACAGCTGTTTTTGCACGACAAGAGGAAATCGATGTTGTCGTCTTTGTTGTCAGCGCCGAAAACCACTTTACTCTGTCAGCAAAGGAATTCATCCAGGCTGCTGCTAACGAGAAAGCATACATCTTTATCGTTGTTAATCGATTCGACAACATCAGGGACAAGGCCAGATGTCAGAGACTTATCCTCGAACAAGTTGCCCAGCTATCACCCAGAACTCACCAAGATGCCAAGGAGCTCGTGCACTTTGTATCGTCAAATGCTGTTATTGAAGGGAAGGATGGTGCTAAGTTGAAGGAGTTTGACGAGCTGGAGCAGAGCTTGAGGAGGTTTGTGCTAGAGAAGAGGGCGAGGAGTAAGTTGGCACCAGCCAAGCATTACTTGTTGAACGTTCTTGGCGATTTGGAGACTTTAGCAGAAGTAAACATCAACGTTACCTCAGCGGAACTTGAGAAAGTTCGAGACGAATTGTCGACAATCACACCTGAATTCCAGAAATCCGTCCAAGCACGTACTGCTGTTTCGGATAACGTTGAAGTCACTATTGATGAGACATGTGACAACGTCTATGGATTCTCACGCAAGAACATTTCCGCCACAATTGCCCACATCGACGACAAGGCTATTGTTGAATACGATGGAGTTCTTTCGGCGTTTGCTTACGCAGAGAAGACAAAGGAGGCTATGCTACAAAAGATTCAAAAGTCAGTTACGATTTGCGAAGAATACGCCAGAAATCAGACTGTGGGAGGTATCAACTCAATGAAGGCCCTCGGAATCATGCACCTCGGGGACGAATATGTTGAGAAGGCTTTCCGCAAGGAGTTGATGTTTTCCCGCAAGAGGCACCAATTGAGCAAGACCATTCAAACCGAGATCAACATTTTTGATTTCTTCGACTTTGACAAGCAGGAGAAAGTTGCCGGTATGAGCATGGGTCTCACTGTTGCCACTATGGCTGGAGGGCAGCTCTTCGGCGTGAGCAGCTGGATCGACGGATTGTGGAAGGCCACTAGCATGCTCGGCCCTCGCACTACCCGTAAACTGATAGTTCCCGCTCTTCTTGTTGCTGGCGCCGCCGGTGCCTGGTTCTTGATCGCCGATATTCCGAACGCTGTCCCCCGAAAGCTTGCTAAGAAGATTCGCAAGGAGCTGGAAGCCATTGATTACATCCACGCCAACTCTGAGAGAATTATGAAGGAATGCAGAAAGGTTCTTGGATTCCCCGCCGAGGAACTCAGGGGAGCTTTCCAGAGAAGTATTGAGAAGCAGGGCAGGACAGTAGAAGAGAAGAAGAAGCTTGAGAAGGAGAGTGAGGTGGCTGTCAAATACTTTGGCAATCTTCTGAGGGAGGCCCGTGAGCACAAGGGAGGTGTGATGAAACTTGAGTTGGAGGGACCACCATCAGGTACTACTGCTTAATGGGAGGGCTACGCAAAGTTTGACTTGTATTTGATGGAGTGATGGCATTGAAAGAGAAATACGAGAATTAACGTAAAAATTCTTCTATGGGTTCTCTCCCTTTAGGGAGTCATTTTGATAGGGTTGTTCTGGCTTGGTCTGCTTGGTCCTCGGTCGTTCGGTGTCGTATGCTTGTTTTTATTATTTTTTCGCTTTTGCTTTTTGTTTCTATCAATTGCATGGACCTTTTCTTTATCTCTACTCTTTAGTTGTCGTTTACTGCTCGTGTTTTTCAAACCCTCCCCCTATTGCTGTAGGTTGGTGGGATAAGCTATTTGGAAAATTCCTTGTCCTTTTATTCTTTCCCTAGCCGAGTAGCTGGCGGTAGGAGGAGTTGAGGAGATGGAACGTCACACATCCCGGGAACCAAGCATAAGACCAGACATGACTGGGGAGATCGATGATATCGTTTTCTTTTCCTCTTTTTTCCCTTGTTTCCATATTTCTCTTTATGACTAATTTGATCAGGCCCCCTTTTAAATTGCATGGCAACGTTATTTTTCTTCTTTTCATTACATAACAATAGGGTTTTTATCTTGGGACAGCATTACATGTACAGACGGATATGGTGGATTGGATTGGATGGTGGGAAGAACGGATGCATTGCCGTCATGGCAGCTGGTTAGATCTTTGGGAAAGGTTTGGTGTGCGCTCTTGTGTGTGTGTGTGTGTGGAAAGGGGAAGGGGGAGGTATCTAAATTTATATGATTTTATCTTTTGCATGTCTGAACCTTCTTGGAGAATAAAAGTTTAAAAGGGAATTTATGTTTTATTTTGAACCTAAGGGCTATGTAGTCCATCCTGTAGGCTGTAGGCGGGTGATGTGTGCGTGCCGCCTGGGGAGCTGCGGGTAGTTGGTCAAGTGAAACACCGATTCTAAGGTGAGACTTGTGGCAATGGTGTGGTGGCTTCATGGACCGTCACTCGCTTGTCCTCATAGGCTGGTTCGGTGGTTCGTTAGTTAGCTCTTGTGCCCATTTAAACCGGGAGTTGTGGGTATGGTGTAAGTGGTGGTGTGTCCACGGCCTCAACGTTGAGGTGGAAGCTGACTGGAGGGGGGTTTCTTGGCATCCGAGTGATGGTCTATGACTATACGAAGATTGATTGGTCTGACCAATACATGTAAGTGCATATATGCAGCCTTACGGCTGTGGCACTTCGCTCTCACCTCACCTCATCTCGCCTCATCCCCCGCCCTCTTGAGAAATAAAAAAAATAAAGAAAAAAAAAAGAAAAAAATGTAGCTCTCTAGAATCCCGTCTTTCGTTATTGTGGAACGAATTCACCCCAAGCTAGCTTAAATGTTGCTCCTCCCCGTCTCGATGACCCAGATTCGTTTTCGATATCTCCTAGGCGGCAGGCAGATCACTATACTCCGTTCCCTCTTGACTCTCCGGTGTGGTTGGGGGTGTGGTTGGGGGTGTGGTTGGAGGCGGTAGTGCCCTGGGAGAAGGGGGAAGGGGTGTGTTTGCGCCGGCGGTGTCCGCGGCTGGTTGGGGTTGGGGTTGGGGTTGGGGTTGGGAGGGACCCCAGGGCCGACAAGGAGTTTTCTGGGTGGGGGGACAGAGTGGGAGAAATCCCCCCACCCACACAAAGTCGGTCGTTCTCCTCCCCCTGTGGCGTCTTCGGCAGTGCCCAGGGCCCTACAGGGGACACGAGGGGAACTTTGGCTGACTCTCCTCCCCTCCCCTCCCGGCGGGCACGACCCCGCCAGCGAGAGCTGCAGGCGTCTGGCTGCGTGAGCGCCAGAGAGGGCTGGCTAGCTCGCGGGCGAGGCAACCTTGGCAATTGCTGGTGGGGGGTGTGCTTGCTGAGGAGGGGAGGTGGTCTGGTTTTTTTGGCGTGGGGTGGGAGGCGGAGGGGCCGGAAGAGGAGGGGAAGGAGGCCGGGGCGGAGAGGAAGGGGGCGGGGGAGGTGAGGGGAGGGGGGAGGGCCAGAATTTTGGTTCCTGGGCGTTGCCGAGGACTTGAAAGGGATTGAGACCTTGGTTTGGCTGTTGTGACTGGTTTGGCGGCGTGCACTCGTTGGGTGAAGCCGCCCGGGCCGCCACGCGGGTATCGGGGGAGGGGGCGGCCTTTCATTTCGAGGAGGAGTCTTTTCTTCTCCCTCCTTTCACGGGGAAGGGAGAGAGCTAGAGTTTTGGTCCCTGTTTGCCTCTGGGCGCTGCCGAGGGTCTGAAAGGGATCAGGACTTTTGCTTTGGTGCTTGGCTGCGTGCACTCACTGAGTGCTCGTCGAGTGAGGCCGTCCTGGCCACAATGTGGAAACAGGGGAACAGAACGCCCCCCCCCCCCCCCCTGTGAGGAGGGGCCTTTCTTCGCCCTATGTTTGAGAGGAAGATAGCCAATTTTTTGGTGCCTGTTGGGCTCTGGGCGATGACGAGGGCCTGAAGGGGATTAAAACTTTGGTTGTGATGCGGGCTGTGCCTGGGAGATTCTCGGGGGTGATATAGATTTGACTGCTCAGCCCATAGTCTTGATGTTCTATGGGTAAGTACCTGGCTTTGTCCCGTGGACCGTGGTGCTTTGAGGTAGAGGTAAGAGGTACAATACTTTGAGGACATAGAATGCCAAAGATGGTAAGGCAGACTAGAGTACTCATGAGTAGACACACCCCGGTTTGACTTTATGGTTCGACCCGAGCTCAGCTAGGTGTGGTAATGTGTTGTGATGTTGGCTTAATCTTACATGTAGTAAGTAAGTGACCCTCTAAAAGCCTCCTCCTCCAATGATTCCGTACGTACGTAGCTGTAGAGTCTCTCTAGAAGCTCCTATTTTTTTTTGTTTAATGCATTAATTGCATGCAACCTTACAGTTATGGCAATAACCCCTGAACTGCCCACTCTCTTCCACCTCCTCTCACGTATATCTGACATAGGAAATAAAAAACACTAGAAATCATCCTTTTTGTCCTATTCCTCGTCTTCAGCGCTTTTCAGCGCTCCCCATCCGTACCCTAGTTCTCTCCTTTCTTCTTCCGCGCTTTCGTCTTGTCCGCCTCTCTCATGTCTCCATCTCGCGAACTATTTCCATATTTTCGTAGCTGCTTCGATACCGCTAGTCTTCCAGAGGAGTTTGCTGACCGTTAGAAGCTCCTATATAATGTTAATGTAGAAATGGATTCATCGCCGTATCTGTCTCCGTGAGTGGCTGTTGGGGGGTGTGTACTGCACCGGGTGAATCATGAGATGTCACTCGCATTGGTTCAACTTATATGGGCCGTTTATTTCGTTAGTTGTTTTCCCCCAGGAGCCAGCTTGCTTCTACGGAAGCTGGTTGTTGGCTCAGTTTCTAAACATCGAGTGGATATGTTAGGATTTTTTTTTCTTCTAGCATATAGACTCGTCTCGCTGTCACGAGCTTACACCCATGCCAGTGAAACTGTTAGCACGAAGCACAGTTCTCCAGTTCAGGCAAGCCAGTTTTTCGATTTCATTATTAGACTATTATTAATAATATGAAGTCTAGACATTCCCATTTACACCCTACATACCACCAGCTTGTATATATATATACATAGCTATCCTCACAGCAACAACCCTCAAAACAGCCTCTCCACACTCTCCACTCCACACTTTACACCTCACTAACCACTCCGCTAACTACTCCCTCCACCCCCCACCATCCCCTCCAACACCTCCCAAAACTCCCCCTCCCCATACACCTTCCCAAACCGATCCCCTTCATGCCCAAAGTCCAAAAACCTCTCCAACGTATCCTCCCCTCCTCTGCCCCGCACACACCTCATCAGCTGCCATCATTATCCCCATCCCGCAACGCCCCCCAAAAAAACAGAACAGAGAACGAAGCAAACTCACCTTCCGACACAACAGCCGCCCACCCCGGCGGCTCCGCCACCCACCGCCACTCTCGGTCCCCCTCCTCCGTCACCTCCTCGCGCCACATGTGTGCGCGCGTGCTCGCAAACAGCTGCATGTAGTCCGCCGCCGGGACGAGCTTGAACCTTGCCGGCGGAGCGGTGGTGTCGGGGGGCGTGGAGAAGAAGGTGTGCGTGAAGTAGTGGTGGTGCGCGAGACCGAAGGGGAGGGTTGTGTCCAGGTCGTAGACGGTGATGGTGTGGGGGGTGGCGCGGGGGTGGTGGAGGAGGATTACGTGGTAGTCCTGGCCCCCGGGGGGTTAGTGGTGGGGAGGAGGAGGGGGAGGGGAGGGGAGGGGAGGTACCCAGTAGATGGGGGTTGTGGGGGTGGTGCAGACCTATGGGGGGGGGGGGGTTAGTGGGTTTGTTTTTGTGGGAATGGGGGCAGTGAGGAGGTATATCTACTTTCTGGAAGTTCAGTGCGACGCCTGGAATAGGTTTGACTGGGTTAGCATTTGTAGCTCTCTCTCTCTCTCAGGTTGTCACTCGAGCCAGCCAGCCAGCCAGCCAGCCACCACACGAGCACCCATATCCCACAAAGCAAGGCAGGCAAGCCAAAAAAAAAAAAAAAAAAAAAAAAAAAAAACTAACGCTTCTCAGTGTTCGAGATAAAGACCACATAGAAGTCTTCCCACAGCTCGGGCGCCACATGGTCCCGGATCATGTGGTATATGTTCTCCTCGCAGTAGCTACAGGCACACCCCCGGTCAGAACTACACCCCGAGTAAAAAAAAGAAGAGGTAGAGGAACGTACAACTGCGTGTACCTCACCTGAGATAATTCAAACACGCCCGTCACGGCGACAAGCTCGGTGGTGGTGGAGCTGCCGTTGGGGGTGGTTGGTAGGTCTGCTATTGCGGCGGGCATGGTTGAGGTATGGTGTAGTTAGTTGGGAGCGGGGTCTAGCTGTAAGTAAATGGGGCACAGATATAAACTACATGCACCTTATGTACTTGGGCGTTTATAATTATGCAACCCTGAGGAGTAGCAAAACTCGGTCCACCACTCAGGTCCGCAGCTGCTGGCTAAATTATCGTATGCAGAAGTACATGTAGGTGCAATAAACTGGTTTAGGTACATACATACATACAGTGCCTGATATGCGGTTTTCTACTATTCTTGGTACTGCAGACCCTTTCAATTCACCCCGCTCCACTCACTGGGCCCGATAAGCGAGACGCCCAATTCCTGTTCCCTGCACAAACGCGCAAAACCTCGCCAGCCAGCCAGCCAGCCAGGTGTCCTCTTACTACATGCCTAGCTAGCTACAGTACGTAGCTGCCGAATTTTTATATCTCTACAGTCCTCCCTCTATTCCAGTTATCGCGATCATTTCCCATCTAATATAATAAATACAACACATACTTGGTGAGCATCGATCCATCCTGCACCCACTCTGCCTGAGCTTGCTCTTTTCTAACACCCCGTTTATAGGTTAGTCATCTAGCTACATAGCAGCATGGCAAAAGGCCGCGCGACCTCTTCCGAGCCCGCCGCCGATATCAACAAGATCGATGCCCGCGCGCGCCTCGACGGCGCAACTAGCGGTGGCGGGGTGTCGACGCTGTCGGCGCTTGCGCAGGCGACGGTGCCGGCGTGGGTGCAGACGGCGGTCATGGTCAGCCTGATCTTTGGGGGGTGCTGCTCAAACGTGAGTTTCCGATCATTGGCCCTCTCTGTGCGCGCGGCGCTGAGGAGCGAGTAAAGAAGGAGGGGAAGGATAAAAAGAGGATGAAGGAGATGCAGAAGTAGAAGAAGAAGAAGCTAAACCCACCACCGCCCCGGCGCAACAGGTATTCGCCCTCGAAGCCATCATCAAGTGCGCCCTCCCCCTCCTCCCTTCCCCCCACCCGCACTAACTCCCCCCCAGAACCGAACCACAAAGCGGCCACCTCCTCACCTTCGCGCAGTTCCTCTTCGTCGCGCTCGAGGGGCTGCACCACCACTTTGACCGGCACTCGCCCACGCTCCTCAAGAAGAACGCGGTGCCGCTGTACCGCTGGGCGGTGCAGATCCTGCTGTACTTTAGCGTGTCGGTGCTCAACAACTATGCGTTCGGCTTCCGCATCTCGGTGCCCGTGCACATTATCCTGCGCAGCGGCGGGAGCATGACCACGTTGGTGGTGGGATGGGTGTTTGGGAAGAGGTTTGTGTTTCCCTCTCCTTCTCTTGCTGTTGCTGTGCGGGTGGAGTGAATCGGTTTTTCTGATAAACACGGCGTAGATATACCCGCATGCAACTCCTCTCCGTCCTGATCCTCACACTCGGCATCGCCCTCTGCGCCTACAGCGACAACCCGCCTCCCCCGCCCTCCACCTCCACCTCCCCCACCCCCACCCCCACCAGCACCTACATCACCGGCCTCCTCATCCTCCTCCTCGCGCAGGTGCTCTCCGCCTTCATGGGCCTCTACATCGAGCGCACCTACCACACCTTCGGCCACCACCCGCGCGAAGGCCTCTTCTACAGCCACTTCCTCTCCCTCCCGCTCTTCCTCCCGCTCCTCCCCTCCATCCGCGCACAATGGAACCGCCTCGGCGGCCTGCGCTGGTACCTGCTCGCCAACGCCGCAACGCACTATGTGTGCTCGCGGGGCGTGAATCTGTTGGCCGCGAGGTCGAGCGCGCTGACGGTGACGGTGGTGCTGAATGTAAGGAAGCTGGTCAGCGTGGTGGTGAGCGTGTGGGTGTTTGGGAATGTGTTGGGTGGGGCGTGGGGCTGGGGGCGGCGGTGGTGTTTGCGGGCGGCGGGCTGTATGCGTTGGAGGGGCAGAGGGTGAAGAGGGAGAAGGCGGCGGCGGCGGGTGGGAAGAAGGTGGATTGATGAGGAGGGGGAGGGGAGGGGGGAGGGGGAGGATAGAGAGTTGCTGCAGTTGAGATACCACGTTGTTTAGATAGATTTTTTGGAGCGCGGGGGGAATAGATGTGGGGTGATCATTTCCGTTTTCTTAGTATAGTAAAATGTGGTTTTCAAACAAAGTACATAACCAGTAGTTGATGTCTTTCGATCATTGACCCTCCCGCCCATCATTAGTACTACTGATGTTCACTACTACTATTACTACGCATGCACAGCAGCCCAGAGTCAGATAGTTACCAGAAGCTACTTTTTATTTTTAATGCTATCTTTTTTTGTCTAACTACAGTATCCATCTAAACACCCTTTTTGAGAAAGAAAGAAAAGAAAAAAAAAAGATACCGGACCCGAAAAGAGGAGCAAAGACCAGAACAGAAAGGAGCAGCACAGCAGCAAAACCAACCAACCAGGAAGATAGGAGGAGAAGAAGAAACCCAGTCACCGAACCAGAACCCAGCACCGAAGAAACCGAAAAAGAAACCGAAAAAAAAGCCCAGAAAAAGAACCCCCCAACCCCCCCAAACCCCACCCACCCAAACCCCCCATGACCCATGGACCATCCTATCCAACCAACCCCCTCACAACCGTATTCTCCCTCTCAAACCTCATGAGATAGCCCACCTTCCACCCGTGAAAGCCGCCAACACCGACCCCGGCCGCAACCTCCAGCCCCAACCCCTCCTCCAACCTCTCCCTCAACCCCACCACCATCTCCCCCTGCAACCTCACCTCCTCGAACCCGCCACTCCCCATCGCCGTCCCCTGCTGCTGCTGCTGCTGCTGCTGCTGTCCATCTCCACCCACCTGTCCATCATCCTCCTGATAAAACACCTTGACAGCCCTCATCGGCCTCTCCACCGCGCTACTCGTGTACCTCACGTCCGTACTAAACAGCCACAGACGCAGCTTGTTCTTCTCCTCAGGTGAGGAAGAAGAGGAGATGAGCATGCGCCGCACGCCCTCGCCCTCGGCGAGCGCGAGCAGCTTGGCGGAAAGGAAGGGCTCTACTGGGTAGGAGTACTCCTCGCTGATGCCGTGCGCGGAGAGGTGCAGCTTGAGCTTCCACTTGTTGAGGCTGTAGCTGTGTGTCTGCGGGTCCGTGGCGCCGAGGTGGGCTTTGCAGTTTGTGCAGTAGAGGCCGTGCGGGTATTGGGTTGACTATTTAAAAATCATTTAGTTAGTTTAGTTATCATCGTAGAGGACGTTTTTTTTTTTTTTTTTTTTTTTTGTTTAGGTAGGGAAATGACAGCTCGAGCTGCAGAGAAGACCACAAATAAAAAAGCGTAATGTCCCTCACAAACATTCCCCCGCTGCCTGCAGCTTACAGCAGCGAGGTGAAACCAAGAGGGATTCTCCAGCGGCCCTACCACCTCCCCTTGGGGAAAGAGGTGACCGCCGCTCTCTCGCCGCTCCCCCGCCCGCAAGAGTCCCGGGCGCCATGGAAACGCCCGCCTGCGTAGGCCTGAGGGAATTGCTTCCCCCGGTAACACAGAGCAGGCCATTACCACAGCATCCTCACAGGACAGGCCCCGCGAGAAGGGGAGGAGAGAGACAATTGATCTGGGGCAATTGTATCGATGCAGATAGCCACTGATGTGGGCTACTGACCTTCTTTTTGCCCCCCGTTTGCTTTCCACAAAGAAAACACAAAAGAAAAAGAAGGAGAAGGGGGGAAAAAAAGAAAGAAAGAGAAGGGAAAAACAGAAGCAAACAGAATGGGAAATTACCTCAACAACCTGCACACCGACACAATCCGCCTGCGCAACCAAAAAATACGTCAAATCCACTAGCACCGTGCCAGCTTCGGCCCCAAACCCTCCCTGGAGAGCACCATACCTCGCCCCCTCGCCATTCGTCGCGGCGGCTGCAGCGGTAGGAGCAGCAGTAGCAGCAGTATGACCACCATTGGTATGACCATTGGCATGAACACCATTGGTATGAACCCCATTAGTCTGCTGCTGCTGCTTCTTCTTATCAGGCCCCGGCTTATGGCAATGCCAGAACTCCATCATCTCCGCCCAATTCCCCGACGGCAGATCCTTCCAATTCTTCACGCTTGTACCGTCAACAATCACACACGCACACGCCTTGCACATGAGCGAGACGCTCTTCCCCGCCTGTACCAGGACAGGTGCAGACCACGGCACATAGTTCTCGGCGGGCTCTGTGCTTGGGGGTGCGGCAGCGGCGGGAGCTGCAATGGGGAGGCGGTACGAGAGTGTTTTTTCGCCGGCGGGGATGGATGCCCGGAGGGTTGCGGCGGCGACGCGGATGGCGACGGCGCCAGGGAGCGGGAGGGGCGTGGATGTGCCGTTGTGGGCGAGGAGGAGCTCGGTGGGGGATGTGAGGGTGAGGCGGGTGGTGGGCGTGGACGGCGTGGGGAGAGTTATGCAGATTGTGACGGAGCGGATGAGGGGGAGGAGCTCAGCGTGGAAGAGCGGTTTGGGGACGGGGGGGGAGGTGGAGGAGGAGGAAGACATGCTGTCCAGGTGTGCGGGACTGATTGTACTCTGGCACAGGCTGGTTCGGGTTAATTCTGTTGATGTCTTGTCAATTGTGGGACAAGTAGGCAGGGTTGGTGCGGTGGGGTTTTGTTGCTGGCAGCGTGTGCTTGGCAGTGGTCGTACAATGGAATGGGCAGCGAAAACCAACATGTTGGTTATGGGCCCGTCAGGAGCAATCACTCAAGGGGGAGAGTTATTTAACGTGTGTGTTGCGTAACGACGGTGGCTAGTAGAGAGTACATGAGCTGAGGGCCCATCAGGAGTAATCACTCGGAGGAGGCGTGATTGCAAAGAGGGCTGGCTAATAATATTTCTTGCAGTAGTAATCATTTCTACTACCAACTCCCGATCTACCAGGGTCTTGAATAATAGCCAGGCTTACAATGAATACTAAAGCTTCAATCTAATCCGCAGGCTACGCAAGTAATCCCGTCCCATCCCGTCAAACCAAGCTCTCCACCTCCCCCAACCCTCCAAACTCCGTCCACTCCCCTCCATCCCCTGCAAAATCCGGCTCTTCTCGGCCCACCTCTCCTCCAGCCACGTCCTCAGCCCCTCCTCATCCTCCGGCAGCTCCTTGATCTCAAATCTACGAACATGCACATGGAACCTCCACGGCGGCGAGACTCGCGCCATGGCAAACGTCTCCCAGATCGTAGGAGCATCCATGAACCCCTTATTAACCCCACTGCCACCGGCCTTGGAGTAGGCCAGGGTCAGGTCGTAGACGTGGTTGATGTGCGAGCTGCTGTCACGCAGGTTCTGCACCTCCGTCACGAACCCTTTGGAGCGCGGGTAGAGCACGTGCGGGAAGACTGGCTTCCCACGGCTCTCGCAGAAGGTTTTGGTCTCCTCCCATTTCTTCTGCGTGAAGCGAGTGCCTTCAGAGTACGCAATTAACCCTATATGGGGTGTCAGTCCATCGATCAAGAACATGTCAGATCAATTGGTGGTGGTGCGGGGGTGAAGGGGCCTCCTTACAGATTGGCAGAGCTGCACTCTTGATACCCTCAAAAAGAGCTTCGAACTCTCTACGATCATTCACCCAATTCCTCGAGACCATCGGCATCCCAAGCGCAATCATCCCCCACCCCAAGAACGGGACCCACCGCAGCGAGGCTTTCGCAAAGTATCTGCTACTCCCCAGCATGCCCGCCCTGACAGCCAGCGCTTGGACCAGGTAGAAGTCCGTCCACGAGACGTGGTTCGCAATCACTATCGCATTCTCACCGCGCGGGAGGGCATCGCCGGAAACAGTGATCTTTGCGCCGCGGCCGCGCTCAAAGCAGCGCTGGATGTGCGCCCAGACGGTGTACGCGATCTGCGAGTTTGCCGCGTAGATCTGGGCGGGGAACGGCCATGAGAAGGGTAGGGTGAGCGTCAGGAGGATGTTTGCGAGTATGAGATGGAGCAGCCAGGGGATGAAAAAGAGGAGGGCTCGAAGGATGGCTGCCGGGGATCTTGTGGATGGAGCCATCATTTGTAAGGGGGGAGTGGGGAAACTTTAGTTTATTTTGGCTTTGTTTTAATTAGGAGGTGGGGGAGGGGGGAGATGGAGCTTTGATGCTGGAGCTGTCAGAGCTTGTAGGTGCAACTAAATACATGGAGTTAGTTGGAAACACCAAGGATCTGGGATGATATTTGGGCACATCAGGACAGATCGCGGGCCGCATGGTCGATCTCCACTGCATGCATTCTGGCTGGAGATCAATAATTGAGATGTATGTAACAATGTGCAAGATTCCAAAGGGCACTCTAGAGACCACGATGGGGAGGGAGCCTTCACACTCACTCACTGTCCAGGGTAGAGAGGAAGCCCTCCTCCTCCTCCTCCTCCTACTGGCTGGCGGTGCGCATGTGTTCTACAATTGAAGCTGTAGCTGGCAATTACTGCGTGTTTCCAGAACGCAAGTCCCCAGAAACACACTTGTCTCTCAGATCAGATCAGTCCTCCATGGCCACCGGCGTCATGGCAGTAGAATAGAGTAGAATTAGGTGTGAATATGTAGCAGTAGAGCCACCACCGTCATCAAATCTCCCCCCCTTCCCCTCCACCGTCCTATCCAATTTCCCCACTACATAGGCAGCTTCGGATATCTCCATCCTGAATCTGATTCCTGATGCACAGGGGGGGGGGGGGGGTTTTACTTACAATTCGCGCTCCCGAGCATCAAAACCGGCAGGGGCGGTGCGACGCCATAGATCCAGACCCTCATTCTCCTTCCCCCCAGAGTTAGGTAGCTCCGCCCTCTCTCGATCGGATCCCCCTCCATCCCCACGTATGGCTTTCCTTCCCGACGTCAAAAGAAGCTTCACGCTGCATGGGTGGCAAACACGCCGGTCCGGTCTTAATATAATCCTGCTTTGCTGCGCCCTCCTCGAATGTCTGCAGAGGTTTTTTCTGGTATTTATATATGAAGGGCGGCCGACGGAGTATCTAGTTCGAAGAAGCAGAAGAAAAACAGAGAGACAGGACGGGTTTAAGAGGACACTAAGTAACTTACTTTTACACTCTAACCGTGCCCTCACTCACTGCACGCCCCTCCTCCCACCCCCCATCCCATCCAGCCCAGATCAGATCAGATCGATCCGAACGTTGCTTTTCGCTGCTGAACTCTATCGAAAAATAATCTCCGGCACCCCCCCCCCCCTCTCTCGAGCTTTCCCGGCCTTCTACTCTGCATTCAACCACCACCCCAGATCACGGGAGGGGAGGACGAAGAATACGAACCCTTGGGTCAGGCGGTATATAAAGGGATCCAGGATAGACATAACACAACCCACACTCCTGTCCGTAACACCCACCCACACAAATCCACCTAACTCAACTCTGGGTTACACACCCGCCCCCAAAAACAGCGTTTCGAGTATTTGTCAACTTGCATATGCGCCGAGCCTGCTAAGAGAAGATCGCATCGCCTATTCCCCCCCCCCCCCCCCCCCACACGACCCACCCCGGCCCTTTCTCCTCAAGCTCTGCTGTTGCCTGACCTGACCATCCCTTTCTCTATCAATCTAATACTACCATAGAGAGAGAGAGAGAGAATTCTGTTTGCAGCGACCATAAAAAACAAAAAGGAAGAATTTATCTACGGCATCACACGTACTTGCTTTGAAATTGTGTGGGTAAACTTTTCTCATTTTCGTTGGTTTTGTGAGGGAAAATATCAGTACTCAAAAAAAAAAGGCTGTTCAGTGATCTAGCAGTACTACTACTACACTACTACTACTACTACTACTACTACTACCACTACCACTACCACTACCATCTACTATCGCGATATATACACTACAGCTCAGCTCAGCTCAGCTCAGCCAACAGCTCACAGCTCGCAGCTCGCAGCTCAGCTTCAAATTAGCAATAAAGGGAAAAGGAAAAGGGCACACGGGAGAAACACCGACTACTTATCTCTCCCCTTGATTCCAATTCCACCCCCTTCCCTTCCAAATCTACCGCGCACGCACCAGTTTCCGCTCTCTACCAACCGAAAAAGCGCAACAACAACAATTCCAAATACTTACTTCAAATCTCTCTCAACCTTTTTTCTTACCGGCAACCCACGGCTAACCCACAAACCACAATCACAAACCACCACCACACCACACCCCGGGCCTAGAGAGCAGCACCCTATCAAAAATTCCAAATCTAGCCTAACAAGAGAAATTTTTTAGCAAAAAATAAATTAGAAAAGCACAAGATTCCAAATAACCCCCTCCCCTTCCAAAACCCGCTCGACCCCCCCCCCCCCCCATTCCTGAAATGTCGGACAACAACGAGCTTGCTCCGCATGTTGTAAATCATATGCACGATCTGGGCATGTCACCGCCGCCCTCGGATCAGACGAGTCCCGCAGAGCGTGAGTCGAGTAGTTTTTTTTTTTTTTCTTAACAAAAGAAAAAGAAGATCGAAGAACCCTTACCTTACAGTACTCGCTGCCTATACAATACTATAACTTGCCCTACTACTATACCCTCCCCCCCCCCAAAAGCTAGCCAATGATGGCAGTTACATGTCTATCTATGAATTCCAAATACCTACCCTTACCCTTACTACCCTACTCTACATATGTCATACCCCCCATCTACCGTCCTATCCGTGATCAGCCCTAAACATCATGATCACCGGTATCCCCGGCCCCCATCCATACAAAGAAAGCGAAATGCGAAAAAAAGAATCTACCTTCCCCTACCCCTCCCCTCCCAACAAAAGAAAAAGAGCTAACTAATTGTAACTAGAGCCGAGCTCCGAAGGCTCAAACTCAGGCAGGTTTAGCCTTGACTTTCTTAAGCTTGGGCTTGGGTCTCGCAGGAAAGGTATTTACCATCTACAAACTGATATTTCTGTTTTAAATTTTTTTTTTTTCCCTTTTTCCTTTTTGGCACCCCTTCCCTTCCCATCCCGGGCCGGCCTGCCTGCCTGCTGCTGTCTTAACTATCTGCGGATCTGGCCGTACCTTACTTGCATTTTTTTTATGTCATGGAGGGCAGGTTTTGCCGACCCCGCCCAATCACCTCCTTCGTGATTTGAGTTTTTTCTGGGTGATTTGCAATGTCTTGCATGCCTACCTGGTCCACCTACTGGCCCGTGAGGTGTGTGGGTTGGGGTTAATTGTGGTTTTGGTCTTGGGGGGTGATTGAACCTGGGTGGGCATGCAAGTATTTGGAAGTAACCCAACCACCACGCCTCACTCTGCGGCAAGGTGACGGGTTGTGACGGGAGGGGGCGGCGGGGGGCGGCGGACAGTACCCCATAGGCCTAGCTAGCTAAGCTAGCTACATTATTATACTGGTATTATTGATATTGGGCCTGGCCTACTATTAGGCTAGATGATATCAAATACCCAGCCCAGATAGCCTGAGGGGGGAGGAACAGAGACAGAGACAGAGACAGAGAGACAGACTGAGGGTGGCAGACAGTAAGAGGGAGAGAAAGAAAAGAAGGGGAAAAAATGATGGGCTATTTGGATTTGCACGCT